CTGAGGGTAAGCTCTCAGTTTCTTTTCCTCCTCCTCCTCGACAATTCTACCTATGCTTCAGAATGCTCCTTCACCTATAGTGCAGGAACACATCCAGACCCTGCAGCCACCACATGCACAACACACAGCCATTCACCTTCTCCCAAGGCAACTGCACTGGAGAGTGCTACTGCAGAGCTCCACAACCAGGGGAGACTTCTGGCTAGATCCATAAAGAGTGTTCACTCTGTGCACCCGACCAAGATTGGTGGGACTCACCAAAAGGAACATCCGAGTGGGATTTGGAAGAAAGGAGAAACTTATAAGCAAGCTGGAAACAAAGGCATCTTCCTCCAGCTTGCAAACTAATGACGGATAGGTGGAAGGGGTGGAGATCAACTCCACTTCAGGCAACCAAGGACACATTGAAGGGAATTTTTTTGGTTTCTCTATACATAAGACTTCCCTAGTACAAGAGGAAGAACCAGCAAGACTTAAGGAAGAATGAAATAGGAAAGAGAGAAGAGTAATTTCTTGGCTACAGCATTAGAGGGATGACCTGCAATTGCTAGGCATCTCCCCACATCGTGCTCAGATTTGCGTTCTGGCCCACAACCATACCCAACACTGAAAATGCTCAGTTAATATTAGTATAGACGTACCGAGTTTAAAAAAAATAAAAATATTGTATACACTTAGGACTAAAGACAATTAACAGCAACATTCTTTCACACCATAGATACTGGCTGCATTTTCCTACTGAATTTGCACCATTATTCAAACGCATCCACTCTATTTAATAAATAACCTTTCTGTTGGGAGTTTCAAACTCAATTCCCAGTTCCATTAGGGAGTCTTTTTTCCTTTTGTCTACCAAGAAAAAAAAAAATATATTAAAAAAGCTAAGTTACAGTCATGCAGCTGTAAGCCTGTTACCAAAGTGCAAGATATTGAACTTACCATCATGCTTGCACAGAGTCTGCTATGACTCCACGCTGTGGAATTCCGTGAGCAAGACTGTGCTGCCCATTACAACACTACAGAGCTAAAGGTGGGACCTTCCTAAGACCCTGACCTTGGAGTCCTACCTATACTTGGCTCCTGAGGAACAGCTGTATGTGCTAAAGTCCAAAACGTGAGTTCTTAAATACATTCCTGATTCCTTGGCCACAAATCCTACTGAAAGGGGATTGCATTACCAAGAGCCTGAAACTAGCACTGGATCTGTGAAATCTCTTGTAGCTAACACACATCTTCAAGACTTCCCCCAAAGCCAGGGACTCCGGTTGACTCCTCCCGTATTTGATAACATAACGAGCAACAGAAATTACCTTCTGAAAAGGAATTTTTAAGCATATATAGTTTATTCAGCAAAAGCATGATAAAGATCCCCATGACATCTTTTCCAACATTTTTCCATTCAGTTCTTTGCATCAAGTCTCAAGATCATCTCTTCCTGCAGATTTTTGCCTTCTCATGGAAGGAGAACCATTCAAGTAGACCTCACTCTTCTGTAGGTTCCAGTTCCTTTTGTAACAAGATCTTCCAGCCAGGATCTCGAGGCTGGGTACCATGCTTTTAAGTCCTGGCCTTGCAAGAGAGCTTCCATGCAACTCATATTCCTTCAAATAAAGTTGCTGCAACAACTGGACCAGGTCATTCAAGACCTTATCACCCTTTCACATCCTTGTTGAGTCATCTCTGTGGTGTTCTGTACTTCTTAAAATTTCTGTAAGTCCAGTCCATCAGGTAGGTAAGAAGGTAACGGAGAGGGCACAAAACAGTTTCAGAGCACAAAGACATACTTCATGTTGGCTGTGGACAGTGAAACTGGTAACTTTCATCTTTTATTACCTGTAAAAATGCTGTTTGCAGTCTGGAAAAGATACGTACAAAAAGATTAAACTGAAAATGTGGGGACTGCACATCAATCAGCAGTTCCTTTGGGAAGTTATGCTAGAGCATTTGCAAGCAAAAAAAAAAAAAGGAAGATGATAAGTGATTGCAAAGCCATGTAACAGAAAAACATTCTCAAGTAGTTTCCTGCTGATAGAGAGACAACAGTGGCCGTAAACAACTAAGCTGCTGTCAGAGGCTCAGGTTAGAATCTCTCAGCACTGCGAGCTGAGACAGATGGATTTCCAGGAAGAGCATCCTACAAAAACCATCAGAATATCCATTTTACACATAGAGAGATCACTGGGACCAGCAGCATCTTAATATATCTGAAATGAGAATAAAAGGGGACTGCAGTAGTTTAGTCAGCCATCCAATTAGATCCAAGTGACTAAATCCATCCAAAGAGAGGGCATTTCTTCCCTTTGCAGTTTCAAACTTAGAGTTTTGTTCACAGGTTGCCTTTTCAGCCTGGATAATTCAGTATTGCCTCCTTCAGAGCACACCACTACAGGATTCTTCTGTAATTGCCACTTCTGAATGCCTGACAGATTTGTCAGGTAGACGGTGTTTGCTGTCCAGTCCGGAGGATTATTTCTAGAGCCAGGCTCATGTAAACATTCAAACTGTGCAAACAAATGAGTACTTCATCAAAAAATAGTGAAAGAAAACCACAGGCACTGTGGAGTCCTCTGAGAGATGGGAGAGCAGGGAGACAGGGAGAACTACCTGCACAGGAGAATTACAAAGGGCATGGAGAGTCTGAAGTGGTATGGACAAGGTCAAGGGACTGAAAGTTTGGTCAACACTTAGGAAGATAACCATATTATGAATAAGGGAAAAAGTAGTCTTGTACCTAGGTTAAGAAAGTGAATTAAACTATATACTGCATGCTATTCACCATTTCATGTTCACCTATTTGCTCCTTCATCCCAGATAATCACAGCCCAGGCTTAAAAGCCTCACTCCAGGGCTGGAAAAAAATATCTGTGCTAAGCTGAGCCCCTGCAGCTACACTCTAAGGGCAGATTTCAAACGTCACTCCCCTACAGAATTGCAAAGATCGCACCTCCCTTCCAGATGGGGCCAGTGTAAAATCTGCCCTTCTCCTTACAGACCTATTCTGACTAAATACCAGGTTTGTACTGGTCTGCTGAAAGTAGAGAACACTGTGCCCATTACTCAGCTGCTGTGCCAGTAAAGCACTTGCTAATTCCTAAGGACAGGTAGAAAGGAGCATTTGAGGAGCCATAATTTTAGCATCAAGAACATTCTTTTTTGCCATGCCTTCAGGAACAGCGGGATCCAGACAGACCACCCCATTGAGCTTCAGTATCTGGAGCCAATGACACAGCTACACTGCAGATGCTGCCCACGGGTCTGACAATGGTTTCACATCATGCCCGTCAAAATCAAATAGGAACTTGGTCAAGGTGAGCCAGCTTAATCTCCACAGCCCCTCTTCTCCTATGCATTTGGTCTTCAGTCAGAAGGTTTCCTTCCGATTCCATGTGCACCTCTGGATACAGACAATAGAATCACATTTCTGGAAGTGTTCAAGATCAGGCTGGATGGGGCTTCGAGCAACCTAGTCTAGTAGGTGGTGTCCCTGCCCATGGCAGGGGGGCTGGAACTTGATGATCTTTAAGGTCCCTTCCAACTCTAACCATTCTATGATTCTGTGATTTGAGGATAGGTTAAAATAACTGACCTGCTCGAGACTGCAAAGCAGCAAAATGCCAAAGCTGTCCCATTTTGCATCACACACTCAGCCCCAAGAGGACTGCATGGAGGCTAGGAAACCTAGGGTAAGCCCCAGCCACGAAGTACCAGCAGTGGTGTGGGCACAGCGACCCAGTCTGAGAGATGGGCAGGGCAGGGCAGAGCACCCTCCTGCAGCACCTACAGACACATCCTTGGGTAAAGAGCACCCTCCCGCAGCACCTACAGACACATCCTTGGGTAAAGCAGCAGAAAGTGGCAACAGGGTCTTCTCGGTAGCGCTGTACTCTGGAGGCCTCCCTTCTGCATACTCAAATAAATACTGCAGTGCTTGGCAACCTCTAGCAGTGTTTTCATGTAGGCAGATCAGAATTAGGAATCAAGGGCTTCAACTTTCAGTTCCTTTCTGTAAACAAGAGATCACTTCTCTGAAAGCAGAAAATAGGCAGGTGTGCTAATGAAGCTATCTACAGGCCTGCTTGAAAAACTTTAAGCCCATTTTTCCATATTGTTCTTGTTAGTCTCCTGTCTAACCAGATGCATGTTTGTAATCCTTGATGCAAAGCCTTTCTACTTGTAATATTACCCAGAGCTGTGGCAAAAAGTGAAGTCTCGGATTACACTACATTTTCACCAGTACAATATAAAACGAAATAGAGTATTCTAACTCTAATGACTCCCCTCACAGCACTAACTGCCATCAAAATTAAAAATACCCCTGGCTGTTAAAACACTGAACTGTTGTAGGTATAATACCTAAATAGTGCTGTCATTCTGCACACTTCAAGCCACAAAACCCACAACCGGTATGAAACTAACTCTGTTCCATTCCTTACATTCAAGGCCTGGCTCTGAGGTAATTAATACTTCACAATATACCGACTGCAGAGCATGTTCCAGGGTCTGCACAGGGATTGTGCAAAAAAAACCAAAACCATAAACCAAACCAAATGGGGAGTCAGAGCAAACCGCTTTATTCCACGAACGAAGTGTGTCAGGTACTGAACACACAGCCCCCAAGGGTTAGACTTTGCATTTGAGGTGACAACTGAAGGAGTAGAAGCTCTCTGGCTCAGGTGAATGACTTCTGCCTGGTCTGAAAGCCTATCAAACACATAGCAGAGATGTGGGTAGTCAAGGAAGCCTGTGTTCCTTTTCACTCTCTCCTCAGGTGACAGTAATAGTCCTCATCAGCTGAGAAGAAGTAAGCTTTTGCATTGGCCACCTCAGAAAAGGGTGACACCTCCCAAGTCCACACAGCTTATCACAACTACTTGATTTGCTTTACTGTGCACGTATCTTCATAGCACAGAAAGCAAATGAGACATCAACAAGAACTCATCCAAAGAAACTTTACAACCTCATTTCTCCCTTACACTGTAACTCCTCATAACTCCTCCTCATACCCTTTTTCCTTCCCAAACAAGCACAGGAAGGATTTAATCTTTAAAGAACCATTTTAGTAACGTCAGACAAAAATCAAAGGAAGAAACCACAGATTATGAAAATACTCAATTCCATCATCTTAATCTTTTGTTATTTAAATCTAATTAAGGAATTTGACATCAAACCCCTAAGAATCAATGATACAACTCAGTCTTTTGTAGAAAGTCAGTTTTACTGACAGAGATTGCGCATCTTTGCAAATATCAGGCACTTACAAAGATCATCAGTTTACTGGAACAAAACAGATGTGAATTAATGACTAAAAGAGGATTAAAATTCTCTAACTTAAAGACTTCCACTTGCAAGATGCTGGCCTATAAAAAAACAGGTACTCCACGCCCCAAAAAAAAAAGAAGAAGGATTCAATGAAAGGAAAAGTGGCTAATTTTAAAACTAAATTCTGCAGGCAGGTTAATCAGAGCCTATGGTCCAACCTAAACAGCATAAGTTTTACACGTCCTTGTATTTATCAACTTAAAGTCTTCAAAGATAGCATAAAGGAAGCAGTAAATTGGCTTTCCAAGAGGGGACAGATGCAGACTACAAGGTCCTTCCACGTTGCTGCAGTTGGGACCAGCTTGTATTTCAGTTTTTCTTCCACAGTTCTCATCACTGTTCCTGTGAGAAACCAACTGAAATTCTTCTGAGGTCATTTGCACAGAGGTGAGAAAAATGAGGTCTGCCCAACGCTGGCAGTGAGCCCCTTCAGACTATTGATAGTAACCAGATGATAAAATCAGCTGAAAGTGTTTAGTCCTTTGGCAGTCCTGACCTACCAGCCTGCGTGAGTAAACAGCAAGCTGGTGAGACTGTGCACTCCTTTCGTAGGCTCCTCTCCAGTTGCAAAACATGGTAAAAAAAGGAAAGTGTAAAAGGGTTCCTGTAATGTAAGCAGCCTGTGAGGACCAGTTTTACTAGACTGATCTGAATGTTATCTTCCAGTTGAGTTCAATTTCAGAGTCCATGGCAAATTCTAAAGTTACAGCTTTTATTTTTTTTAAGAGAATTTCAGTATTTAACTCTGGCAGATTTAAAAAACAAAAGTTTTTGAAGAATTTTAAAAATTGCCTCAGCCAAACAACTCACTGATAAACACCGAATCTTTAGAAAAGGGAAGTATGGTTTGAGAGAAAGGGAAGCAAACTGGGGGAAGATAAGAAAATACTGAAATCATTATAGATGGTTCAGCCTTATGTCTCTAACAAAGAGTTGGGGGGCATCATTTTCATACTCTGCAGTCGCATTGATATTAGGTTTGTCAACAAATTCTATTTCGCATGCCTGGGTGCTGCAAGGAGAACACTCCAGCTCCAACACTGTTATGTTGTTTGGCTCCGATGAAACAAGTATATTCCTTGGAACATAAAGGGTCAACTGAGGACCACGGGCTGGCCAGTAGCGACCAAGATTAAAGCCATTGATCCAAATTTGCCCCTGTTAAGAGAGAAAGAAAAAATAATGACATTTTAGTAATTTGACAGCAATCAAATGATGAAATAGCTTTAAGCACAACGCTCTTCACATAGTAACTGGATTTTCTCCATCCTCCAGTTTGATAGAACACAATGACAGAAAATCTGGTCAGAAAAATACTAATGACAGTCAAAAGAATCTAAATTCCTTGATGAGTTAAAGTAATTAATATTTAAAAAGGAAGTGGTTAAATACTGCAGTAATTCCAAATATGACAATACTTAGGAAAAGAAAATTACAGGTTCCTGGCACTGAATTTTGCACCAAGTTTCAGATCCTAGCAAAACTGAAAACGGTATTTGCTTGAAGCTGATTGTTAAATGGAGAAAGAACTCACAAAAGAAAAAAAAACAGATCCTAATTGTTGTGGCCACCTTTGCTAATGTAAGACTACATTATCTTGGTAGGCCTTTCATGTTGCATAATTTCCTGCAAGAGGTACAGCTTGTCTAGACACACGAAACTCAGATGTCTATTATACTTGTAATAGCTCTATCAACAAAAAAACTTGTGAAATCACACTGCAAGAGAGTAGTGTATTTTGGTGTAGTTACCTACAACCATTAAAATCTTTGGGGCTCTGTGAGCATTAATTTAAGTCCAATGAAATTGTGGTTAACATGGCATACAAACTCCTTAAATTACTTCTAATTGCAGAGGTGGTCAGAACTGCTAGTTCAAAATATTGTTCTAACATTATAAATATCTTAAGTTCAAAAGATAAAACAAAATTGGGCAAGAGGGAAAAGAAAAAAATCAAACTAGTCATTTATACACCACAAAACAGACGGATTGAAGTGACACAAATGCAGATTTTTCCAAAAGAGTGTGTGCGTACATACATATATGTATATATACATATACATTTTTAAATATATATTGTACATATATATATACATATACATTTTTAAATATATATAGTCTATGCATTGGTGAGTTGCAGAATGTTACGTAAAACTGTAAATGGACTCCTACTGAGTTAAGCTGAATCTTTGTTCATTAAACAAGACATAAGGGAGGTAATATAGCTGATTTGGTTAAATAATTTGCTTTTACTCCTTCCTAATGTCTTTTCACCATGTCAGATGAGTTCAGTGGAAAAGAAAAAGGATGGGAACAGATAACTTTGTTAGTCAGAATATAGAGGAAAAACAAACTACCTCTTGGCATTGATGTACACTGATAAAAATAATAAAATAGTCTGAATCAGTGGAAAGTAAGGACTTTTACTGCACTCTTGGTCATTTCTACAATTTTATGGGATATCTGAATAATACTTTTAGAGGATTTACAGAAGCACAATTGTAATATAGTGAGTATTGCTGTTCAAGATGTTTTGGAGGTATTTTTCTTGTGTTTTCAGGTATTTATGAAAACAGACTTTATTAAAGTTGCAAGCGAAATTTTATAATGAGTTGGTAAATTTGCAACTGCAGGTGAGTTATTTAATCTCTGTATCTACTGCTGTGGTATAAGATTCCTACCTTGCACAGTTCTGCCAAGGTGCTAATAAACTGTGACCTCAAGCTTTCCAATTTTATTTTTTTTTGAACCAAATTTATCTTGCTTTGTTTTTGCTACACTAATAGGCAAGAGCAGAGCTATTTATTCGAGCTCACTACTCTGCTGCTGTGGTAGTTTTAGAAGAAAACGTGGCACCAGTGCTACCTCCCCCCACACAAGATGAATTAGTGAGTGTAGTACCCACTAGACAGCAGCCCACCCACTACAGAGAGTGACTGTAACCCTGGGGCAGTAGGAGTTTACTGTAGGAATCAACTGTTCTAATGCAGGAGGTCTCTGTTTCTGATCTTAATCAGGCACTGGTTGTAACTCATTTTTCCAGTAAAGTTATGAACTTAATTTCTCAACTGCAAACTGTCCTTATTAACATTGCAATTTCTAAAGTATGCACACTCAGGAATTTGTACACTCTAACCCAGCAAATCATGACACGACCAACAAATATGCCCTAGATAAAATAAAGGAGGGGGGATCTCTATCTTCAGTAACAAGATTTCCTTTAGTAGGGCTAGCAACTACAACCCATGATTCCACAGAAATCAAGTACCATTCTGACTCCAAATCTTTCTGTTGAAGAAAAGAAAAAAAAGTCCAATAAATCTAACCATACATTCAGGGGCATGTGCGCTTAAGGGCATCGTGCTTCCTCAAGCAAGGGTGGAGGAAGTTTTATTAATAGTGAAGGGTTTAAAAACCACTGAAAGAAAGTGAGCTACAACATTGCATGACTGTCAATGCTGCACCCTTCTTCCAAGCTGTCCAGCATGCCATATTCCTCATCTTAATATGCAAAGGCAGGATGATCGTTGGAATTACATGTTTTCTTGGGAAGTGGTGTTTCCATGGTTTTCCAATTACTCAAAGCAGGTGGGTTTTTATTAGAAGTCCCTCTCCACACCTTGGCACCTGCAATTTATACATTGCCACTCAAGGAAATAAGGCCCAGATCTAGTGGGACCTGAGTGGAATTTAACCCCTTAAGGCCCTCTGCCTTAAAAGCATTTGCTCATTGTGAAGTTATCTGGAAGTCTCAGTTTCCACACCCAGAATCACCTCATCTTATTACTCCTGGGTATCTTACTTAAAACTTCGGTCCAATCCATGTAAAGCTTGAAGGATCAATTACATAGCCCTACTTACAATTTGTCTGGGCTCTCTTCACCTTGACTGCTTTACAGGGTACAGAAACCTCTGTCTTGCAGAGTTTGTATGTTCAATAGATCCTAGGAACAGGATTCCCACCGGTACATGAGAATTCTTGGACCCATTTGCCATTTCAAAAATATGTTTGCAAACCAGCAGGTATGGTCATCTCATTTTCTGAAGAAGATTTGTGATTCACTGGTCACAAAATTTACTGCAGAAGTCTCAGATTCCAGTTCCTGTGCAAAAAGCTATTTTTGGATTTTATTCAGTGACTTGGTAAGATAGTCCCTGTTGCTATATACGTGTGTAAGTCAGACTTCCTCATCCAAGCTCAGTGCCAGCAACACTAAGTGCCTGCAATGAACCACAGTCTTCTGCATATTGGGAAGTGGTTTACCCAGTACAATACCATAGATAGATCACCAGCAACTCCTTCTCCTACTCAATTTTAATAGCAGTAAATTAATTTATTCAGAAAGGAATAATTTTGCTACCTAACACTATCACAAGCACTTCCCTGAAGCCTGGACATAAATGCTTAAGCTTCCAAGAGGAGTGGAGCTTCAGTGCACACATTCTGCTCCCTGGACATCCCAGCAGCTTGTTGAGCTGGTCCTCACCTATCCTGCACGCTGGCTGTTCCACACATTGCACCATGGAAACACACTCTTTCCTGCTCTAGCTATGTTCCAGACCCCTGAGAAGTTCTGATGAACAGAGATTTGCCCACCAGCTTCTCACAGCAGCACTCTCTGATCCATTCAGTCCAGTTACAGGTAACCCCCAGAAGACAAGCAGTAACATCTTCCATGCGTTGGATCCATATCTATGGGCACAACACCAGCAGTTGTGTCCAACACTCTCTGTGCTTTGTAACAGGACCCATAGTTCCTCACACAACACCACAAATACGTTCTTAGTTACTTTTAATCAAACAATACAACAAGGAAAGTGTCCTCTGGCATCCCACTTCCTCCAGAATAAAAAATTCTTTTATCTCAAGGTATATATTCACTCCCTCCCTCCAAAAAGATGTTTCTGCTCCACATCTTGAGACAATAACATCTAAACAACTAAATGCAGCATTTCATGACAGTTCATCTTTCTCACTGTTGAAAAACTAGTTTTGGGGTGGGTTTTTTTTGTGATGGTCCAGTTTCTAGACCAATACCAAGTATCATTTGAGTATGTTTGCCTTGTCTTAATGGTTTGCCTCCAGATTTACTTAAAGCAAGGAATCCATTTCCTAGTTGTTAAAATACATTTGAGACACCCCACCACTACAACCAACTTCTACCCATTCAAGAGAGGTGGACTTCGATTGTCCATGGAAGTTTCAGTAGCTTTCTGAATGGACTTTACAGCAGTTTTTACAGCAAAAGTTGTACCTTTGTCCAGCCAGGAAACTTGACATAGGTGTCTTGAGGCAAGTCTGGAATCCCTTCAGGAATTGAAAGTCTACCAGTGTAAAAAGTAGGTGCTTCATAACTCGGTGGACTGCCAACGGATCTCTCTCGGCGGTCAAGGTGGCCTTTAATGCTATGGTTCACTGCTCCATCTATGTCTAGAGGATACATCTCCCACTCAACAAGTGTATCTTGATCAAGAGTTAAATTTGAAACAAGACCCTAGGAGGAGATAAAAAAGAAGAACAAAACACTAAATCATAATTATTTTCATGTTATTGAAGTTACTTGGCTGCAACTATAAATCAGTCAGAAATGAAAACTGAATCAAACTACTTGCAACAGCTGCCAATCTGTGTATGAAAAAAACAAGCATCTGGTCATCACCAAGCTATAGGCTTTGCTTAAGAATAAAGGGTTCCGTTTATTCTCTGTGAAAGATCTGTTCCTCTTCAAAGTTTTGACCTCTCACTCACGCCCAAGATTTTTTTCAAACTTTTTTTCCCATAACTCTGAAAATTTCGGTATTGCCTGATTCCAAAACCTGGGGCTTAAATAAAAGTGGAAAAAGCATCAAATAGCGTATGCTTGTGATAACAATCAAGAGATCTGGTAACACTGAGTCACTAACCCAATATATTAACCTGCACAATAGCGGAGAAAGCTGTATTTACTTCCTACAAATCTTCTACAGCTAAGATACAGTATCGCAAAATCAAGACACATGCTTTCTGACCCTGATTCAGTGAAAAGCTTTAAGCTTACAGTCAGCTTCAAGCCCACAGAGTCCTGTTTCGTTTCTATGGAACCATGTGTACTCACACAATGACTGCAACAGCAAGGTAAGCTCATGATTTAAGAAGAGTGGAAGGAACATTAAGTTACTCCTGCACAGGTGTTAATTGTGTTATAAATAGTTTCTAAAGTTGTGTTTCAGTGCAATGCAAGGGGCTGATATTAAACCAATGCTGCCACATCCATATAATTGCTTGAACAGACACTGTATAGAAGCTGGTTTTCAGGGCAACTTAAGTTCTGTTGCAAACACCCTGTCGAACAGGAACAAGCAAAACCACATTTTTAATGGTCTAATATTATGTCGGGTGCTTGTTGTGATGTCTAATAAGCATGGCACTGACTCCACAAGCCTCACCAGCAGTATGAGCACCAAGTGGATTTCTCTTCATTTACCTAGATGCCCACTTTACAGAAGAGGAACTTAAATTTCTTACATCAAACTAAAATATCTGCACAGAGTTAAGTGGCAAAACTTTTCTATACAATCTAGACTTTACTGTCTAGCAATAAAATGAAGTAATGCAACGTAACTTTAGCTCAAACTTTCTAACCTGCCTCCCCTAAGCCCCCATTTAGGTGCTATGAATGGCATGATTTTTCAAATGAGATGAAGTGCCTTTGGTCTGCATAAGAATGCATATAAATATAAATATTCCAAGTAAAACAAAGATACAGGTGGCAGTGAGTATGTGGAAAAAAAAATAGAAAAAACCAGAAACCACATTTCCTTCCTTTGTGTCCTTCAACAACAAGATTTAAATCAGCAGGATGTTTTAAAAGCAAAACCCTTTCAAGATTCCTTCCCAAAAGCTAGATGGTTAGCTCAATTTCAAGCTGCAAATTTCAACTGCAGCCCGAAAGAAAAAGCTATCCTATTTGCTGAAAAATGCAAGGCTTCACAAGGTAGGAATCTCTTCCTCTAAAGTTATTTTTGAAAGCACAAAATGTCTAAAACCCATGGTTACTCCCAGTTTTCAAAATCAATACAAGAACAGCATGAGGGAGGGATTATATGGGAATGAGCAATGCACAAAATTACCTGAGAAAGGCTGCCTCTGCTACACAGCAGGATCCTTTTAGAGGATTATTCTCACAAATCATATGTCTACTAAAATTGCTTTCGCTCTTAGATCTTTAACAGATTGAAACCCTGGTGTAAGTGTGAATTTCAGCTCAACCACAGCAGCACTGAGTACCTGCCTAATCCAACCTCTAATCCTCTATTCTGTTACTTTAATTTAGCACTAAGCACACAGGCTTCCTTATCACCCAGCCTCTTATTACACACATAAATAAATGCAACATTGCTGCCTCTACGTGAAGGCAAAACCTTGGGGAACTACCTGTCCTGTCTTGTCACTCTGAAAAAGGCAAGGCACCTTGACAAGACAGTATAAGCAGAGTTGGCACTCCTGCTGCCTACTGAATTAATATGAAAAACCATCAGTTGCTGATGTTTCTAACTGAGAGGCTTCCATACATCCCAGATATTTTCAGTTTTGTTCTGATCAGGATTCAAATACCTGTATGCTTTCCAAAGCCTAAAATGGGCAAAACTGATTTTTGATACGGTGAAGGCCTGTAGGTTACCATCTTTGCAAATGCTGAGAGTTATGTTGCTTTGCCTTGACTAGAGTCTCAGCATAATTGGAAATAAACCTACAAAAATCCTCATCACAACATACTTAAGAATAAGATAACGGGTCAATTAGTCTCCTTTAAACCAAGCCTCAGTTTTTCCATGCTGCTGAATCATAACCAATATACCCTTCTTTAACAATGCAAATATGCCCATCCTACTCAAGTGTGAGAACTGGAGATTCTGCCTAGTTGAGACCTTGCAAGTCTCTTCCCAGTCTATGGACCGGATATCATCCACTCGGTGATCAAACTGGATTCTGTAACTGGCCCAAACTCAACCAGAGTTTGCGATCTCATCAACTCAAGATGCATACACATTTGGGTTTACTTCTTCCCCTACTTACAACCTTAAAAATACTACTTCCTCATAGCACATGTGCCTTTGCTTGATAACTAAATGGTACTGTTCAGGCACACGTCTTTCCTGTTTATCTTTCCCCAGCTCTTGCATCCAAACTGAGAAACACTTTGGACAAGTCTTAATTCTGCTCTGAGATACCCATCACATATAGAATTTAGACTGAGAGGGACCAGAAGCTTCTAATTTACCTGGCATTACCTTAGCACCAGAAAGGTACCACAATCACCAGACAGACAGTTATTAATCTGGAGAGTCATTAAACACTTGACACACTTTCTGAATACTGCTAAATCAATTTAGGCCAAGTAAAATCGAGAGGGTGTTTAAGACATTCTTGCAGTTAGGGGGCTGCACATCTCTTCTTAATTGCAAAGCTTTGTCATGACTTCACTACTACTTGTAACCCAGTAACATAAAAAACTTACAAAATAGTGTGCTTACTTGTAACCCAATAACATAAAAAACTTACAAAATAGTGTGCTGTGGCACCAAACACGGCAAAAATGCAAGAGCGGACTCTACATGACTCCTCTCTTCAGCAAGTATCACACACGCTTGGGATCCCATAAAGTCGAAAACCAAGAAAGCTTCCTTTTTGCCCCTGCCCTTCCTAGTGTGATGTTAGTGGCATCACCACTGTATTGGGTTTACATGGCAAGGTTTTGGTAGCACAGTGGCTGCAGGGGTGGCTTCTGTGAGAAGATGCCAGAAGCTGTGCCCGTGTCCGGTAGAGCCAGTTCCAGCTGGCTCCAAGACAGACCCACAGTTGGCCAGAGCTAAGCCCAACAGTGATGTTGGTAGCACCTCTGTGATAAAGGATTTCAGAATGCTGGCAGGTGCTGTGACCTCTTCCTTAAGGACTGCACCCCATGAAAAGGACCCATGGTGGAGCAGTTCTTGAACAACTGCATCCCATGGGATATTGGAGAAGCTCATGGAGGACCGTGCCCTGTGTGTGGTGTGCCATGTTGGAGCAGAAAAGACTGTGAGGAGGAAGGAGCAGCTGAGATGAAGTGCTACCAACTGACCACATCCTCCATTCCCCATCCTCCTGCACCTCTCAGGGGAAGGAGGCTGAAGAGTCAGGAGTGTGGTTGAGCCTGAGAGGAAGGGAGGGGTGGGGGGAAGATGTTTATAAGTTTTGTTCTTATTTCTCATCATCCTACTCCGTTTAATTGGCAAGAAATTAAATTAATTTCCCCCAAATCGAGTCTGTTTTGCCCCTGACAGTAACTGCTGAGTGATCTCTGTCCCACAAACTTTTTGTCATATTTTCTCCCCATCCTGTTCACAGAGGAGAAGTGATAAAGTGGCTTGGTATGCACCTGGTAGCCAGCCAAGATCAACCCACCACAGCCACTCATGCAGGGAGGCGACAGTCCCAAAGTGTAGCATGGACCCAGGAGCATTCGGAAGGTTTTCTGCTAATTATCTCTAAAACCTGATCAGTCCAAATCTGAACTGGCAATTTTACATGATAAAGCGCTCATGAGACAGCCTTTCCTAGTCATATTGAAAATATTGCAAGGGCACACTGCTTACAAATGAAATGGGACATGGGAAAGGATACAAAAGTGTATACATATACACACACAAATACAACCCCAGGATTCACAAGCCTTGAAGTACAGCCAAGATCTAGACTGATTTCCAAACCACTTTTTTATTTTATTCAAAGAGCTTTGCATATTTTAAAATGCTAGCTACAGGATCAATTCAACCTGAAAGTTTTGTGGGCAACACTTTGGCTAACAACATAATAAAATAATGAAAAAAAAAAAAAAAGAAAGATGTCTGTCAGTTTTTAATTCCACTTTGATTTCAGTGACTGGAAAAACTCAAAAACTAGTGAAGAGTTATTTTATTTTGAGGTAAAGTTACAGCTGCATAATCCTGATCCTTTTGCTCTAACCCATTATTTTCTTTTCAACCTGTGGAACGGACACCATAATCCAGTAACTCAATTTATTTTATTTACCTTGAAGTCATTATTGTATCTGCCAAAGTTGACTCGGCCCATATTCTCTACCAAGATGTCCAGATTTGCTCCAGCCTTCCCAGTTATATTTAACATGTGTGATTTGCCCCTTTCAAGGACACCTTGAGGAACCTATAATGAATTACACCAAGAGAAAGAGACATTGAAAACCAACAAATCCCTGTTATTTCTCTCTTCAACTTGTATATAGAAAAGAAAGGGGACAAAGGAAACAAATGAAAAAAGTTTAAAGAAATATTTTCCTTTCCTCCTCTTGCATGGGAGCACACGCACACAGAGCACTGCTATGTCAGTATTCACATGTTAGTCAGTCTAGTGACCATAAAGATTTTGGCAATATTAGTGATTACAAGGGGCTTAATTTTCCAATTAAGCCCACATCAATATTTAAGTTTTATTTATTCCCATTGTCACAACATAAAGAGAGATGACTTTGATTCGGACACTGTGGTGATGAGAGTCAGCACAAGTCAAAGTATAATTCAAAAATAGGCTACAAAAGTCTGAACAAAACCCTGCTTAAGGGAAGAAATGTAAAGTTCATGTTCTGTGCAATAAACTTTTTTTTTTTAACTTGTGGTCAGAAGCCAGTTTCATAAGGTAAGACATAGGCTCAGGCTTCCACTTCCCTGTACCCTCAAAGGAAAAAAAAATAAAAATATATGACAACACTGTAGAAAGCCACCAAACTTTCACCACCATATCATTAATGTATTTCAAGAACCTCTAAGTAAACTCTTCCTCTAGGTTTTGGTTGGGTTTTAGTTATTTTTTTGCACTGAAGTCATGAATCTGTATTAACATTCAAATATCTCTAAAACAGAAACAATTACATTTTCCTTAGAAATAATAAATAGTCATATTTTCTGAAATATGAACATTTAGAATAAATCGACTCTACACTTCCTTACTTCCTTCATCTGATTAACTAAAGTTTATCTAGTGAAGGTGTTTAGTAAATTGGAGAAAAAAAAAGGCAGACTATCCACGACTTTTGTGAAGGCCACTGACAGCAGAGATGAATACCAGCAAACAATGTTTACCCCATCGACAGAGACATAGGCACGATCGTGGACTCCATCTGAAGGTGAAGACAGTTGTGTTGGCTCCGTACAATTTTTTGGAAGTTTAGTTCTGTACAGTACAAACCCAAAATACTAAGAGAAGAAAAGAAAGGATAAAAACCCAAACAGATTAATGAATCAAATCATTCCGTAGTTTCAGTTCAGGTCATGAATTAGAAATATCCCACATTCCTGCCCACGCACTCAGATTAAAATATTAACTTCCATTCCCCTCAGATAGCATCTATCACAGAACACTCCATTCCCCTCAGATAGCATCTATCACAGATACCAGCTTCAGATTAGAGTTCACTTTGACCTTTAAGTTATGGGTATAAATTCCACAGAGTTTCCATTTTTAAATGTTTCATCATAACATTTATGTAACTTTAAAAGTGAAGGGTCTCAGCTACGAAGGCATTTCCTCAATAAAAACAAAGCTGTTAATGACTGACAGCATTATTTCTTCATTAAAATCAATGAGAAGACAGCTGAAAATCCCTTCATTACTGAGTTTATATAACTAACTTGAAAGTATACTTGTCACCCAGTGCCCATAAACTGGTATTTTCATCAAGTTGGTATTATCTATTTTTAAAACTACCCAATTTACATCAGGAACATTTTGGAATTTCCTGTTTCCAATCAGGAAATTAAAAAAGTCATAGTCATTGGATTTGTTCTCATCATAAAGTGAAACACAAATTAAAAACAAGTAAAAAAAAAAAATATTATCTCTTTCACTCAGGAGCCACAAAACCATTTATCTTCAAGATTGGGATTAGAACACAACCATGGTGGGAAGAAGTGAGAGTAAATCATTTCCATTCTGCTACGATTATCATATTTGTAACACATTTGCAACAAGGTGCCCAGAAAAGAAGGAGAAGGGGAAAGAAAAGAAAAAAAAAAAAATTAAAATATGCTAGGAAGCTGGGCTGGCTGCCCTGTTCTCTCAGGAGTTTTCCTAAGCAGAGTACTAAGGGTGGGAAGGCCGGAGGACAAGCAAGAAAATCCCATTAGAAATTGCATCCAGCCACAAAGTACTACCTGCTGCTTCTCTCATATCTCTGCATTAGTGGCTTGGGAAGGAAAAATCTGAGCTTTGATGCCTACTTGACCAATGCCACATCCCAATCATCTGCTTAACTGCTTCCTCCTCTTCTTCCTCCCCCAGCTACTACCACTGCGACATTCTCTCCTGAGGAGTTTATTTGAACTGCAGACAACGAGTGCCCATGCTCCAGCCTCTGCCAAATTCAGCACAGAAGCGATCAAGGAGCCACATAACCTTAATGGAAAGACAGCAGAGTCCGTCAGCAGCAAGGGGAAAATCTTTGGCTGTGAGGGAAGATATGGGAAGTCACCAGCTGGGCTGGCTGCCCTGTTCTCTCAGGAGTTTTCCTAAGCAGAGTACTAAGGGTGGGAAGGCCGGAGGACAAGCAAGAAAATCCCATTAGAAATTGCATCCAGCCACAAAGTACTACCTGCTGCTTCTCTCATATCTCTGCATTAGTGGCTTGGGAAGGAAAAATCTGAGCTTTGATGCCTACTTGACCAATGCCACATCCCAATCATCTGCTTAACTGCTTCCTCCTCTTCTTCCTCCCCCAGCTACTACCACTGCGACATTCTCTCCTGAGGAGTTTATTTGAACTGCAGACAACGAGTGCCCATGCTCCAGCCTCTGCCAAATTCAGCACAGAAGCGATCAAGGAGCCACGTAACCTTAATGGAAACACAGAGTCCGTCAGCAGCAAGGGGAAAATCTTTGGCTGTGAGGGAAGATATGGGAAGTCACCTTGTATGCAAAAGTAGTGTCTCAGGCACTGTGCTCACTCTGGTAAGACGTGGGAACAGGCAAAGAAAAAAACAGGATAAAGAAATAATTAGTGAAGAAAAAGATGGATTAAAAAAAAGCTTCCTGACCTGAAAAGTCAGCATTTCACAAAGGAGAGAGATAAAGGTGAAAGCCTGGACACCATATATACCTACATCCATGGAAAGAGGAAAACCTCAGATGCAAAACAGAAGCACTGTAGAACATGGAAAGGTCTCCAATGCAAAAATCCTGGACATCGTCATAATACTATTATTTCCGCGATAAGGTGTAAGACACTGGACATAAGAAGAGTCATACCACAGAGGGTTGATCAAATAAACTTTACAAAATTACTGCAAAGGAAGATGGATTAAAAAAAAAAAGTCTCCTGACCTGAAAAATCAGTATTTCACAGAGGAGAGAGATAAAGGTGAAAGCCTGGACACCATATATACCTACATCCATGGAAAGAGGAAAACCTCAGATGCAAAACAGAAGCACTGTAGAACATGGAAAGGTCTCCAATGCAAAAATCCTGGACATCGTCATAATACTATTATTTCCGCGATAAGGTGTAAGACACTGGACATAAGAAGAGTCATACCACAGAGGGTTGATCAAATAAACTTTACAAAATTACTGCAAAGTTCCTACTGAAGGAATCCTCACCTGCTTTAGCTCCCTCACAATACTATTATTTCCGTGATAAGATAAGGTGTAAGACACTGGACATAAGAAGAGTCATACCACAGAGGGTTGATCAAATAAACTTTACAAAATTACTGCAAAGTTCCTACTGAAGGAATCCTCACCTGCTTTAGCTGAACAAAGGTTAATGGGTAAGTGCTCTTCACTGGTCCCTTAGGTGACAGCACGTTCAGCACATCTACCACAGTGCCCACCTGCAGGATAGAAAAAGCACATGTATGAAGGTCAGTAAATTTCAATCCAAATATAACAGCTTGCATATCCAGTCACCTCACCAGCTAGCTCCATCTGTCCAGAAAGCAAAGACATTTTTTTCTCTCTCAAAGTCCACTATCAATTTTGTATTAGTCGAGATGCAAACAATACACTTAGTGTCTCACAAGCTCAAAAACTCAACCGCATTAGTAAGGAGTGATATCACATAAGGAGTGCTAGGGTTTGTCTTCCCAAGTAACCATCACACATGACGGAGCAGTGCTTTCCTGTGGGTGGCTAAACACCTGCCTGCTCATGGTTAGTAGTGAATCAACTCCTTATTTTGCTTTACGTGTGTGTGCAGTTTTTGCTTTACTTACTAAACTGTCTTTAGGTCAACGCCCAAGTTTTTGCATTTCTGCTTTTCTGATTGTCTCCCCCATCTCTTGGGGAAGAGTGAGCAACTGGCTCTACGGGGCATAGATGAGCAGGTAGATCTAAACAGATGTTTGAAATGAGCTTATCTCAGCTCTTTAGCCAAGAACCTCTGGGAGGTGATGGTCCCCCTGTCCTGGGCACTGGTGAGGCCTCACCTCGAGTACTGTGTCCAGTTTTGGGCCCCTTCCCACAAAAAAGACCTTGAGGGACTGGAACTGGTCAAGAGAAGGGCAAGGGAGCTGGTGAGGGGTCTGGAGAAGAAGTCTTGTGAGGAGAGGCTGAGGGAGCTGGGGGTGTTCAGCCTGGAGAAAAAGAGGCTGAGGGGAGACCTTCTCGCTCTCTTCAACTCCCTGAAAGGAGGGTGTAGCCAGGGGGGGGGCGTTCTCTTCTCCCAAGTCCCAGGCCATGGGACAAGAGGAAATGGCCCCAAGTTGCCCCAGGGGAGGTTCAGACGGGATAGTAGGAGAAATGTTTCCACTGAAGGGGTTCTTAAGCCTTGGAACGGGCTGCCCGGGGCAGTGGTTGAGGCCCCATCCCTGAAGGTATTTAAAAGCCAGGTTGACATAGAGCTTAGAGGCATGGTTTTGTGATGGTTTTTATCAGGCTTAGGTCGATGGTTGGACTAGATGATCTGAGAGGTCCCTTCCAACCTGGACAATTCTATTCCCTGGTTCTAACAAACCAGAAGAGACCATAGGCATATAAAGGATAATGCCATCACTACCTGAAGTTTGGGTCACCCTCACTAGTCTATAGTGTTCACCCTGGCAAGAAGGCTGTCAGTCAAACAATGGTTTGCAAAAATTTGATGAAAGACCTTTGCTCTTATGTTTTTAGTTTAAGCGTTGTACCTAAAATAACAATCAGCTTCTGCAGAGTAAAATTCCCCAAATGCTCTGGAGTGTGTATGTGCTCTATTCCTTACTCTCTGCTCCTCCAATAAGAAGTCAGTAACGTTAAAGCAATATGCAGGACTTCATCAGAGAGATTAAACTGCTGAGTCTTGTACAACAGCTGTGAAGCAAGAGATGAGTATCTTTGTACATACACTGACAGAGTCGATTTATAGAACTAAACAACAATCCTGTGAGCATTAATAGCCTTGGCCACAGGTAGACAACGAAATTAGAAGTGAATGTAAGCAGTACTACAACACATATGGTCACTACAATGAGCTACTGACTGGCAATGAGTGCTGCTTTCTGCCTTGCTGAAAGGAGTATTAGCAGCTTGTACATCTGCCTGTTTGATTTATTTTTTTTAAGTTCTTGCAACCAAGGGGACTTCTGTTCTGAATACACCTCGACCACCTATGATTCACTTATGGACTGGACCGGTAAGAGCTTGTTTCTTTGGAAGGTCAATAGATCGTTTTTGTTCAGCTTTCACTCTTAAGTGGTACTTACAAAAAAACCAAGCCAAAACAAGATCTACTCTTGCTGCAAGTTCCTGTTGACAGCTTCTTAGTGGACAAACAGTACGACAACAAAAACCTAACAGTAAATTTGAAAACTACAAATACTATCAAGAATTTTTAAAAACTCAACCTGTAAAACAACAGATGACTATTAATAAAAAAGAGAAATACTTTTTTAACCTCCACAGCAAGGTCATCAAAACCAAAATTTTAAGATCAAGCATAAAAAAAAAAGGAACAAACCAGCTCCAACAAGAATGAGCTCTCCCCATCCCAAAAACCGAATACAACTCCAGAACCTAGGAGTCTGTGGGTTGCAGTGCTGGGACAGGCATTTCTTTGTGACCAAGCGCTCCTCAAGGGCCCTCCAAGTAGTGACCACCTGCTCACAAGCCTGCACAGCCACACAGACACATAGTAGGCATGCAGATGCATTTATTTCCCTCTGGAAAGGATGCTCCCCACATTCTGGGTGTTAAATCCCTAAACTCTGTCATCTTGCTCACATTTCTTGAGTCTATCTATTGCTGTTCTGCCTTTGCCCGCCCTCATTCCTCATCTTCAATACTTTTGTATCTATGAAATAAGACTTCTTACTCATGGCCTCAGCATCCCCAGCATCTTTTAATAAATTACCTTTTTTCCCCACCCAGGAGAATTTTTTAAAAATAATTCAGTAGCTCAAAATGAACAACTGCTTTATCAGGGAACAGAAGGGGAGTTTTTCTTTATTATTCTTCATTATTTCTTTCCCCCCCCAACTAGCCTGGGTTCCCCAATCATTTTCATCTGGCCAACCAAGTTGCAAACCTCCAAAACCCACCAAATATGACAGGCAGCACTGCTAAGGGTAAAGATATCTTTTCCTCAAGTGTAGGTCCTGAGCAGCTGATCTGGTTACTTAAGGACTGAATTGTCACAGTGTATCTTGTGGGGAAAAAAAAAAAAAATAGAGAACAGCCTGCTCCCATTACATGTATCTCTGTAAAGTACACCACAGAATCACAGAATGGTTAGAGTTGGAAGGGACCTTAAACATCATTAAGTTCCAACCCCCTGCCCTGGGCAGGGACACCTCCCACCAGACCAGGTTGCTCCAAGCCCCATCCAGCCTGGCCTTGAACCCCTCCAGGGATGGGGCAGCCACAGCTTCTCTATGTGGAGAGAAGTTCCAGTGCCTCACCACCCTCACAGAAAAGAATTTCTTCCTATTTTCTAATCTAACCACATGACTGCTGAAAATACTCTGGAGTCTCCTTTCCCTCTTCCTTTCTGCAAAAGCATCAAGGGAGTTGGTTCACTGCAGTAGGTACAGCGCTCTGCACAGGTCTGACTGCTGGAGCCCGACTGCACAGTGAAGCTTCACAGAGTAACTTCTTTTAGTAGTGTTACCACAAACAAAATAGTTGGGAAGTTCACTATTACCAAAGCCAAGTCTTATCTTTTAGACTATTCCTTCTGATATTCACCCAAATACGTTCAGGCTTCTCCATACAGCAAGATGCTCGGACCTGGTAACAGCAGGGGCTAGAAAGAATGATGGAGTTGAGAGGATGGCTTTGGCTGGGATGGGACAGACCCTCTGTGATTTGAGACTCATCCTGTGCTGCAGGGTAACCAAGCAGGGAAGTCAACTGCTGCTGAAGTTAAGCAGTGGGTTCACAGAACAAAAAGTAGCCTTCTTCCCAGAAAACTATTCATGCAGCATTCATCTCTTGAAGGCATGAAAGAGACAGTTCACTGTTCCAGAGAAATTGAACAGCCCTGTCTGGGAGCCATGAACCATGAGAAGATGGGAGGGTCAAACCCTGATTGCTAAGCTCCCAAATGCTGGCAACCCAGGATAGCAGTAGAAGTGGTGGGTGTACTGATAACGGTATATAATTAGTCACTACCAAACACAAGCCAGTTCAGGGAAACCTCATAAGGCAACTCCTGCCCTAAAAGGTCTGAAGATACTCAAAGGTTGTTGAAAATGATATAGATCTGTTTCAACTTGACTGGTGAATCGCTTTTATACAAAAAGTATTTCTGCCCACCACTTGAGTGGGATGACTTGAAAAAGACTGCAAAGCCTTATCACTACCGAATTTTGCAATGCTTCAGCACGTAACAGTTCAGATATATCTCTGACTGGAAAATTAAAAGTAGAAAGTATAAAAACCAAGTATCCAGTACACCAACTGCAGTAATCTTCCACCTCAAAGAGGCAGGCAGTAGGTTGAGGGAGGTCATTCTCCCCCTCTGCTCTGCACTGGGGAGGCCACAACTGGAATAGTGCATCCAGTTCTGGGCTCCCCAGTTCAAGAGACAGGGAACTGCTGGAGAGAGTCCAGCGTAGGGCAACAGAGATGATGGAGGGATTGGAGCATCTCCCTGCTGAGGAAAGGCTGAGAGAGCTGGGGCTCTTGAGCCTGGAGCAGGGAAGGCTGAGGGGAGACCTTATTAATGCTTCCAAGGATCTAGAGGGTAGGTGGAAGGAGGATGGAGCCGGACTCTTTTCAGTGGTTCCCAGTGACAGGACGAGGGACAATGGGCACAAGCTGGAACATGGGAAGTTCCATTAAAATATGAGCAAGAACTTCTTTGGGGTGAGGGTGGCAGAGCCCTGGAACAGGCTGCCCAGGGAGGGTGTGGAGTCCCCTTCTCTGGAGATCTTCAAGACCCACCTGGATACAGTCCTGAGTAATGGGCTATAGGCAACCCTGCTTTGGCAGGGGGGTTGGACTGGATGATCTCTAGACATCCCTTCCAACTCCGACAATTCTGTGATTCTGTGAAAACCACTTGTCTGTACCCAGAAGAATTAACACAGCCAAGTTCACACCTGTCACCTCTTCCGTCCCCACTAAAACCATCCTCTACACTCACTGCAGGAACCTAGTTCTTAACAATGTATTTCACAGAAAATTGTCGCAGGTCCTAAAAGATGGTGCTAGGGACAAACCCCAGCTATTCATGTGCTGACCAGTTATACCACTGCTGTCAGAAGGATATGGCAAGGCTGGGTTCTGCACGCTAAGTTCTGCCCAGTTTCCCCTTGGCAGGAAACTAACAATTTCTCTCATCAGCTACATATTTTCACAACTCTTGTGAGAAACCTTTCAATAAATTTCAAAGTCTTGTTGATAGATGTTCCATATTCAAAATTTGAACACCTAGAAGTATTTAAAAGATACACATATCCTACTTGCTCCTCCTCCTTCAGAGGTACCAGCAGCTACAAAACCATGCTTTGCTCATAGCTCTCCATGCTTGTATTCCCTCAGCTACATTACTCAACATGAGTTCTCAGATATCTACGATTATCAGCTACAGATTTTCACAACTCTTGTGAGAAACCTCTCAATAAATTTCAAAGTCTTGTTGATAGATGTCTCATCAGCTACATATTTTCACAACTCTTGTGAGAAACCTTTCAATAAATTTCAAAGTCTTGTTGATAGATGTTCCATATTCAAAATTTGAACACCTAGAAGTATTTAAAAGATACACATATCCTACCTGCTCCTCCTTCTTCAGAGGTACCAACAGCTACAAAACCATGCTTTGCTCATAGCTCTCATGCTTGTATTCCCTCAGCTACATTACTCAACATAAGTTCTCAGATATCTACGATTCTGTTAATAATACACTATTTTCACTTTAGTAAAACTTCAGGCACATGCTGCATACTGTAAAAATTACCTTTTAATACCCAGATAACACACATTTTCTCATTTTTCACTATTTTCTGCTATGGGCATGATCACTAGCTCCCAAGCTCTGTGCCTTCTTTACTGAAAATCAGCTTTCAAGGTTTTCCTCTTTATTTTGTATGATACCTAGAGACTGCTGTTACACATTCATAAACATTTTTTGCAAAAAGCAAATATACAGCATTATAGAAAGATACACAACATATTACAAATGTTAATTTACCTTCTGCAAGCGAACATTCCCGTATGCAAATTTGGGTGTTGTCGGAGGGATAAGACCTTCTGGTAACTTCTTATACTAGAAAGGGGAGGAAGAAAAAAGAAACACAAAGCAAATACAGACATGCTTTAACCAAATTCTCACTTTTCACCTCACAACTTACAAAAGTAGAACTTTAACTAGAAGTAGATAATCTCACTGTGCTAAAGGATTACAGCTACATCTAGTCTAAGATGGAGGGTTTTTAGGAAAAAACATCTGACTTGCTCACATATGGCAAACAATTTTTAATAACTATTCAGTTTGAGGTAATGGTAAAAAGCATAGCGAACAAACACACTGCCCAAGAATCACAGTGCCCTTGGGGCCCTCCTGTGGCTAAAGCTTGTGTTACTGTCTTCTACAACCCTCCTGCAGTCATCTCCCCAGTCCACGGGAGCTTGAGTTAAGCTTTCCAAGTCTGCAGGGCAGCATTTCAACCTGATCCTTTCTTAGCAGCACTTGCATATGAGAATTATTAGCCTCTTGTGCCTTTCCTTTCAGTCTTATTATACCCTACCACCACCTGTTAATCCATTACTGCCTGGCCTGGTTTCTCCCTTGAGACCACAGTCTCCTCCACAGCTCCGCAAACCCTTGAGGTCCCATCATTACCTCCCCTCTGGTCCTGGTCTACACAACTGCGCCATCAATCATAGGGAAACATGACAAGAAAACACTCTGACTGCTGGGCTATTTCTGTTTACTTCTTGTCCTATATCTCTAGGAAGAACCATCCAAGATCAGCAGAGAATCAGCTGAAGAATGCCCACCACCTTCTTGGACACCTTTGAGGAGTGGCAAGTGTCTTTCTGCCCCATACCCTAGCTGCCTCCTTTCTGAGCCTACAACCTTCTTTTCTCCTTGCCATCATCCAGGGCTTTTGTTGGTTTTTTTGAGAGATCACAGCAACATAATACCCAATGGCCTCCTGTCAAATATCAACTATATCCGGACTGATGAATGCCTGATTTGTATTTCCAGTAACAAGTTCATTTCCTCCTCTCTGTATTTTAAGATAATCAAGATATTCAGGCTTAAAGAAAAGAAAAACTATATTCACCCAAGAGATGAAGTAGGAAATTTCAGTTCTAGTAGAAGAAATTACAGAATGCTGTCAGCAACTGAAAGAAGCTATAGACTGAAACTCCTTTATTTTATTGGATTTATTAACTGAAGGAAACAGTAAACTTGTTAGCCTTGTAGCACAGGGATATGCTGAACAAAGTAATTAACAGGCAACTTAATTTTCTTTCATCGGCTCCTCCTGAAACTGCAAGTGAGTAGATAGACTGTTACTGGTTTAGAACCCACAGCAGAGACAGGAAAACTTCACTGAGATCCTATGGATATGGAAGGTAAGAGATAAACAAACCACACCAAAAAAAGCCTTTATTTTATTGGATTTATTAACTGAAGGAAACAGTAAACTTGTTAGCCTTTTATTTTATTGACTGAACTCTTTTATTTTATTAACTGAAGGAAACAGTAAACTTGTTAGCCTTGTAGCACAGGGATATGCTGAACAAAGTAATTAACAGGCAACTTAATTTTCTTTCATCGGCTCCACCTGAAACTGCAAGTGAGTAGATAGACTGTTACTGGTTTAGAACCCACAGCAGAGACAGGAAAACTTCACTGAGATCCTATGGATATGGAAGGTAAGAGATAAACAAACCACACCAAAAAAAAGCTGTACCATGACCCAACACACCTTAGGTTATATCGAACACTTCAGATCTTATCAAGGCTCTCTCATTTACTAGAGCACTACTTACATTTCAGATAGGGATCTTGCCTTGAAGAAAACAACTCAAAAACAGGAATTTCTCCGGTGAGAAAAGCTGTATCAAGACAGTAAGCTCCCCTTGAAAGGCTATCAGAATGATCCCATCAATGGAAAGCTTAGAGATAATGGAAAAATTTAGGAAAATGATCCACAGCAGGCCTTCCACAGGTACGGAGATAAATGTATTCTCAACTCTAACTGTAATAAACTTTTAGGAGATCTACTCCCATCAAAAAAATGTCTTCTAGTGAATAGGATGTTGGCATGCAACAGGACAGAGAGTGCAAGCCTAAGCCTTGGGATTCCCATGGAACCTGTTTCATCTGAATAGCCTCCAATTCAAGGCTATGCAAAATCTAGATACAGGTTCCTCCTTTCACTTCAATCTCCAGTTTGTACACTTTATGGCAAAGGCAAAGCTGGTCCCACCCACTAGCTACAGTTTGAGGCATCACAAAAACAAGACACATTCATAGCAAGGAGTTAGGTTGGCCTAATCACCTTGTTCTACTTCCCTCACCTGCAGAAAATAGTAAATTAAGAAGCAACTTATACCAACAGAAAAGCAAGGGAGTTTCCAGGTACACCAGGGATGTTTCAAAGAACCGTTCTAAACATGTCCCAGGGACACTCACCATGCCAATGACTTCCCTCACGGCAAAATATTTTTCTGTCAGGTCGCCCGCTTCACTCAGTGGAGCATCATAGTCATAACTAGTGGGCTGTGGCATATAGGGCATATTAGCACCTAAGAGAGGCAGGGGGAAAGAAAAAAAAGCAATGGAAACAATGAAAGAGTTTGTTTTTTTCCTAAGGTGTCAACTTTCAGAATTCTTTCTACTCACAGCCAGACTCTGCTACATTTTTAGATTCAATGTAGGCCCTGGTATTTGGGATTTGCCACAGAGAAACTATTTCCTAATGGAAGACCCTTCTGAGCTCACACTGCTCTGTTCCACAGCCTTCAGAAATACTCTGAAGAGAAACAGATTTATCCATGTTTCAACTGTTTCACAGCACTGACTGAAGCAGAAGTGGCCTTTGCAAAGATAAATAATGTGGATTTAGTACGATGTGCTGGCACTAGACAAAGAACAGCTAGTGCAGCCATCGGTTGCCATCTGGAAGCAGGCAAAGCTTATTCTATTACAGAATACATTACTACCTAATTCATAAACAGCTTCCCTACACCATTGGATGCCCCAGGGGTTCAAGGCCAGACTGGATGGGGCTTTGAGCAACCTGGTCTAGTTGAAGATGTCCCTGCCCATGGCAGGGGGGTTGGAACTCAATTATGCTTAAGGTCCCTTCCAACTCTAACCATTCTATGATTAGCATAATTTAAATTATTTCTTACCATTCCAATAGGCAAAGTTAGTCCCACCTATAAACATGTACCTAAAAAGGAAAAAAGCCACCCACTTAAATCAAATTTTGTGAATTGGTAAAACAAAAAAATCCACCCAAAATTAACCTCTACTGAACACATACTTACAGGTTAACATTAGCACCACGTGCCAGGATTTCATCAAGTGTTTTAGCTACAGCTTGTGCGGGCACAACAGAATGACGGTGCCCCCAGTTATCCAACCATCCAGTATAAAACTCAGAATTAACCTTAAAGGAGGAACAGAAAAAGAGGAAGGGAAAACATGAAGAGGGAACAAGAACAGAATGCAATGTGATCAAAGGTTACTAAATGCAAGAGGGAAGGAAAAAGACACCTTGACTCATTTGAGCCATTTTTAAACTACTATAAATACAGCAATACTCTTGGTCAGTCCTTTTCAGCAGATAACCGGTCAAAGAAATTAAGCAGATTGTTTCAATAATTTTATAGGGATGCTTTGAAAATAACTGCTTAAGTACCAAAAAGCATGGATTTCCTTGGAACCTGTCAACATGAACGTGATTCAGGTGCTCAGCACTAAAATAAATGATGGAGCCAATACAGTCTCTACAGAATAGCATACATAGACTAAATGTAATGGAAAATAAATCTTTCCAATACTCAAATTGCATTCTAAACAATTTCATAGCGAAGAAATAATCTTGGACCCTTAATGGGCCATCTCCCTTTGTGAAAACGGCTACCAGTCATCTCACATCCCATTATGGCTTGCATAAAACCTCTAAGGCAGCTGAAAACAGGAAGCAACTTCTAACCTGCCCTTTTAATTTTGCTTTTAACTTCCACCCACACACCTCACTAACTCATCTAACCATACTTACTGTTTCCGCTGCTTTGTAAACATTTCTCTTTGCAAGGAAAAATACTGACACGAAATCAATACCTTCCGAGACTAAAACAGTATTTGCAGAACAACAGTTAATATGGATTTGACAAACACACAGAAGCTCCTCTCTTCAGTTTTTCTGACAGACTAATTACGCCTTCATAAAAATGTCCCTAAAACTGTCCAACACACTGTTGTCAACTCCCTTCTTTAATCAAGATTAGGAATGGTACAAGAAATTTAAGGAAAAAGACATACCAAAGGTCCTGTAGGTTCACCGCTCCTTTGAGCTAAGAATGCTGCTGTGACATTGCCACCTATAAGCAAAAAGAAATAAAACTGAGTTGCTACATCCACCACTTTTTCAGTCCTTCATTTTATTGAAATAGCTTTCTCACCTTCCTTCCAACAGCTAGCAAAAATCCAGACAACAAAGCTACTTCAGAAAACACAGGGATCAATACCTTTGATTTCAGTGTTTAAGTTGCAGAACTTAAAATATATACATACACACATGCCTGCATTCATGTATGTCTTTGCTTTTGAGATACATCTTCTGACCAGATTTTCTCAGGAATTAAATCCTGGGACACACACACACACACAAAAAAAAAAGGTCTGAGATTTGTCAGAGTTGCTACTTGGGCATTGAAAAGTATAGGCATAGGGTTGTGGTACCAAGACTATGGGGAGAACAGAGGGCAGGCAGTCTCTAAAAGGGAGTTTCACTACCAATCACTCCCAGCAGCTCAAGCCACTGGAAATAACTACTTTCATGAACAGCTCACCACCTCGTGAGACACATGAAGGGCTTCACAATTTCAATCTACGTGTAAAAAAAACAGATTCCTGCCACGCCCACATATTTGAACCTAGAAAGACAGTGTATAAAAGAGGCCACATGTCAAAAAAAAACACGGGAAGATCTGTCCTGGAGTTTGTTTCTTGTGCCTTAAGTCTATTGTGCCAAGTCTGTGCAGTATAGGAATGTTTACATCATTAACTCTCCTCTTTTATCAAAAGGGCACCTTCTGAACACACTGTCACTGTTCAGCCATTCTTCAGGCCTAAATTGTGGCACTGTGCACATTTCTAAAGATGATCTTCAGCAGCAATTTTTTTTCCAGTAACCACTGCTTTAAAAAGAAGTGAACTATGATGGCTGGATTCTGGAACAGATATAGGACATTAAAAAAAGAATCAAATCAACAACAAAAAAAAAACCATTAAAAATTATATTAAAAAACAATTTAAAAAAAACAATGCCATCTATTACTGCTGATTTTTAGCAGATCCACCTTATTAGCAGTACCAATTGTTTATTCATGATTTCATGATGCAAGGAAGTGATTAAGCCTCTCTAACTGGATACTTGTGGGTGATTCTTGTACATTTAAGAGTAAATCAAATACACAAAATGCCAGAGAGTTGGACTCGATGATCCTTACGCATCCCTTCCAACTTGAAATATTCTATGATTCTATCACCCCATTTGAACAAAGCCATCAGGTTTGTCAAGCAGACAAGCCAGTTTGCCCTGCCACAAACACACACACACCAGAATTCTTTGGTAACAAACCACAGTTTCCAACCTGGGCCAAAGTCCACCGTTGCGTAAAGATCCTGAAGAGCTCCACATTTCAAGAAAAACTGGCTTGCGCCATCAGTTGTGAACAGCACCACCTCCTCCCCAAGGTGCTGACGGAAGAGCTTCAGAAGGGAACGCAGATAGTCATAGTCGCAAGCAAAGTAGCTTCCGTACTCGTTCTCCACCTGCACAGTAACAGCAAGTCAGTAAAGCACTACCCAATTTCAGTCTGCATCTGATACGAAATATGGAAAGCCCAAATTCAACCGTCCTCTTCATGGTGAAAACGTCATTTTAACTCCAGACCTCAGGAGCAAGAGAAGATAAATTTTTAGGCACTCATTCCTCTCACCTGTATCTTACAGTGGAGCAATCATCATGAGGAGTTAAGTAATTTTCCTATTAAATGACCCTCCACATAAGAATCTCTACCATGTCACAGAATCACAGAATCTTCTAGGTTGGCAGGGACCTTAAAGATCATCTTGTCCAACCGTCAACCTAACTGACAAAAATAGTCACCCACACAACAAACAAGGAGCATCATCACTAAACCAGACCTCCCAGCACTACATCAACCCGTCTTTTGAACACCTCTAGGGATGGTGCCTCAACCACCTCCCTGGGCAGCCCATTCCAATGCCTGATAACCCTTTCAGTGAAAAAATTTTTCCTAATATCCAGCCTGAACCTACCCTGGCGCAACTTGAGGCCGTTTCCTCTCGTCCTGTCGCCTGTGACTTGAGAGAAGAGACCGGCCCCCATCTCTCTACACCCTCCTTTCAGGGAGTTGTAGAGAGCAATAAGGTCTCCCCTCAGCCTCCTCTTCTCCAGGCTGAAGAACTGCAGTTCCCTCAGCCTCTCCTCATAAGACTTATTCTCCAGACCCCTCACCATCTTTGTTGCCCTTCTCTGGACCCGCTCCAGCACCTCAATGTCTTTTTTATGGTAGGGGGCCCAAAACTGGACACAGTACTCAAGGTGAGGCCTCACCAGTGCTGAGTACAAGGGGACAATCACCTCTCGGGCCCTACTCGCCACGCTGTTCCTGTCCACTTAGCAAGTGATCAAACACAGCCTCTATGAAAAATTGAGAGCTACGACCCACCTCCCAAGCAGAACAATAAAACCTTTGACCAGGTTGTGACGTGATCAAAACTGCAGCAAAACTGGACTTCCAGAACAGAGACGCCTACAAAGGACTCACGTGAAGAGCAAAGGCCTGCAATAGACTCAATGGACTGAGGGGAAGACAACCTGCTACTACTGAGAGGTATGCATCTTGCCCTTTTCCCAAGGGGATGGACTTTCAAGCTCCAGATCCCATGCCACGCACACCTGCAGGTTATTTCTGCCAAGGAATAGTTCTGCCTGCTGCTTTTGCTCAATAGACATGATGCACTGTTCAAGAACAATGCTCTTGGGCATATTATAAGAAGGGTCTCCTATCCGATCCTGTGCCAACCAGGAAGTTTAAGGAAAAGAAAAAAAAAAAGAAAATAGAGCTTTTGTTAGAGTCAAATACTAAGAGTACGGAACAATCACCACCACACATCTAGAAGGAGTTTGAGAGAGAAGCTACTAACCATGAATGCACAATATTGTGTCCTGAAACATTTACAGCTTAAGTTAGCTGCTAAGAACTAAAAAGCCTAGATTTTGAGGCTGCTTTTATCACAAGTTTTGTGCTTACTCCATACTGCTTTTGCTTCTATCTTCCGGTATCCTTATTCCCCTTTTTTTTTGTGTCAGAGGGTTCCAGGTAATTGTAATGTATTTTGGCTTTATTATGAAAACTGGCACGAAACTCAGATCTAAAAAGCCAAAAGTTTCCTCTATTGCTTTCTATGGCTGTGGGAAACAACTTTGATGGAGCAGATAAGTGCTGTCTGAATTCTGGGAACAGTGCATTCGGTTCTTCAGGATAACAGATTTCATCAGAATCTTTCAGCTACCTAAACTGTTAAGGAACACCTGTGACATTACCCCTCCATTGCTTTCTATGGCTGTGGGAAACAACTTTGATGGAGCAGATAAGTGCTGTCTGAATTCTGGGAACAGTGCATTCGGTTCTTCAGGATAACAGATTTCATCAGAATCTTTCAGCTACCTAAACTGTTAAGGAACACCTGTGACATTACCACCCACCACCCCCGGAGTGTCTTCAAGAGCAACATAAGCATCCATGCTGCTTGAGTTCATTTGATTTTCAGGAAGTTACCTGCACCATGATGACTGGTCCTCCATTGTGATAGAGCTGAGGCCTCATCTTTGGCAAAAGGACACCCATCCATTTCTCTACTGCTGCCAGGTAATCTGTGATACACAAAGTACATATGTTTCACAACTTTTCTGCTTTTTTCTAGTTTTTGTTTCAAATTATTTATGGGTAGATTTTACCTAGTGTTCTAAATATGCAGAACATAACAGAATAGCATTTAATGAACTCATGTCCTGTTATACTTGCTCATAAATGTCAGCTTCCAGTACAGTCTAGCAGAAAATAAAACATTTAAATGCTGATGAGCTTTGAAAAATCACCAGAGAGACTTCAACATGCCTCACGCAGGTTGTCCTAATACATTCCAACAGGAAAACAAATTCAAATGTTGCTATGTGTACTGCTGTTTGGTTTTTTTAGAGGTAATTTATGCCACAATGAGCAGAACTGAAGTCAGATACATATCTTTGTCCCCCATCACGGACTCCAATAACTACATTAATCTCCTGTCTCATCTCATCCCTCCATGTCTGGTTCATGACCAGGTAGCACTTAAGAATGCTGTACCTAGTTCTGGAATTACATGCACACTGATCAGCCAGGAAGGATCCTCCATGATAAGTGGCCAGTTGGCCACTGCAAAAATCAAAAAACTCAAAGCTGAGAGCTACCTGTTTTTTCCTCAGTGGTGACAATGATTTCTCTCTCGGCGCCAATTTTTGTGAAACCTGCCAATAGCTTGGAAAATTTCCACCCTACTTTGTTCATTCTATATACTTCTTGAATGTACTTATTCAGTACTTATTAGAAGTACTGAAGATTTTAGTCACAAAATAACTTAAGCTGAAATATGAATTATCTAGTAACGGCCTCAAACAGCAAGTGTCCTTGCTGCTGAAGTGTATTTCTGCTAGTCTGGCCGATGCCTCTACCTGAATCAGAAGACCTGAGAACAATAGATTTCTTCTCCAACAGCCATGCAGGAAGACCGCCCTGAGAAAAGAAAGGGAATCACTTCAGTGACCATTTTTAGGAAATGTAAGAAGAATGTAGCCTTTCAGCAAAACATATCTAGATCTGAAGATGTATTTTCTACAAGTAACTAATAATTCCCAATATAAAAAACAAATACAAAGCAAGCTTGTGTTGTAAGAAGTCACTTAGGATGCATGGATTTTAATTATGCTAAACCAATAGTCTTGTCCAAGGACACACCAAATATATTTGACTACTTTAAGACAGAAACACTTGCGTTCGATTTACCCTAGAAATGAGATAACTGTTACAAAAGGCTGTACCATGTCCCACTCTGCACAGATGTAAGGTCCAGCTCGCAGGATAACCAGCAAACCAGTGTCGTTAGCAAGCTGCAGGAAATACTCTAGATCTTTGTCACCAGAAAAATCATACGTGCCCATCTGGGTTTCGTGGTAGTTCCACGGCACATACCTATAAAGACAGAAGGTCACCTTCCATTAGAAAATTGAACCAAAACTCCAAATAACAACTGCTTGCACTACATGCACCAGAGATCTGTAAGGCTGAACTGCTCTTCAGATCAGTAAAATACAAGAGTAACTCTAGGGTCTTCCTTCTTTGAGGTACTTCACATGGTAGAAAGTGTTAAAATTAGTACTGAAACAAGGCTTATACTTTGCAGTATGTCTGCAGGAGTCCATATCAATGCAGGAAGAGGTTTTGCTAGTGCCATTTAGAAACCATGATGTCTGTTCCCAAATTTTAGTTAACAGTTTTGATGTTAGCAAGTCACTTGCCAGTGGTACAGCGGTGGGAAGTTTGTGAAGAGAGAATACAGTAAACCACCCACGCAGGAGGTGGTCAAGAATGATCTTGCCCAAAAGAGCACGCGAACCTTTGCGAATGGATCACCCAGCTTGCATAGGTAACACCAACTAGGATGACAGGTCCATGCTGCTACCAATACAAAGAACTTAAAAATGTCTAAGCCTTAAATGATACTGCATCTAGATCCTGAAAGTCTTCCTCATGCAGGGGCACAAAGGTTCTGGAAAACCAGCATGGGAAGAACAGTCAAGTTAGAGGGTGCTAAGTTGCCCAGGAGCCTGGGCAAAGTAAAACTTAATTTCAATCAAGTAATAAAGCCAAACAAGCAGATAACCATTTGAGAGAACACCTCTCTCCTACTTCCAGGACTTATGAAACCACAACCTCACCACAGAACACCTCGCAGAAGATAAAAAATACACTTGGTCGCAAGACAACAAAGAAACATGTTATCTACCTACTACTACATGTTGTATTGTAGCTTATGGCCCTTGCTTGACAACCATGCAAGTTTCACCTTGGGATAGTGCTAAGCAGCAGTTGTAGCACAGAAAGACATTCAAATTAGGGATGGGTACAACCTGAGCAAGGATAGAAGAGAACGGGAAAACTTATTCTCCATGCATTTACCTGTTTGCACATACGTTTGTAATCCCTCCAAGAGAACTGTTGCCAAGGCTCCAGAGAAAAAAATTGAGAGAAATTTGTAAAACCAAACCCGTGGTTAGTCAAGCAAAGACTCTGTCAGGCAACACTTTTCTTACTGTCTGGGTTTGTTTATATTTTCCAGAGTTAATTTTGTAAGAACCACCCAAGAGGGAAAGAAAGTGCAGAAAAACACTGCTTTCAATTAGCAAGAAAAACAGGAACCGTCACACGAACTGAAATGGGCACACTCAGAAATACATGCATGTGAACATCAAATACAAAAATTATAATATTTCAGCAACATTAGTTAATATTGCAACCTCACAAATGCCAAACCCTTAAACCTCTGAAAAGAGAAAGGTTAAGGTTTGTATGCCAGGACGGAGTCAAACCAACACACTCAGACATCAAAATGCAGACTTTTCCCTCTATGTAGTATATTTCGGATTTTTGTCACCCTGCTCTAATTGTTTCCAAAGCACTCAATTAACTCACTCGTAGAGCAAACTAAATATGCATTTAATGAATAGATGAACTACATGAAAATACATTCAACATTAACTCCATTTTGTGCCCTTCACCTAAATTTCAAGCAGGTGAGCTGACATTTAATATCAAAGTAGAGAAAACAGAAAACTATTTAAAACAAATTATCAACCTACCTCAGAGAAGCCAATCCCAGATGGCTTCCCAGAATCCCAATATTGTGCTTTTCTTTCCCTATTCCACACACCATTACCCAGGTCATCACTGCAGGATAATTTTAGTTTGCTCTAAGCCATAATAGCTATATTCTTTTCAAAACTATTGCTTAGAAATACAGAATTCTTCTACATTATCTGTATAATGACTATGGATTTGTCAAAGACAGATAAACCTAACTCCATTTGTTCACAAGAAAACTTGCCTAAAAGATTAGCAGAGGAAAAAAGGTGATGTCTCTTGACCTAGCAAAGCTTTTGGTACTCTGCTGTATAACATGAAGTGAACAAGAAAAAAAATAGAGGCTAGTTGATGCAACATTAACATAGAACAGAAGAACAACCCAGAATCTGTCGGTGAACACAGCCAGGGTTCTACACACTCTTAACTAATAAGCAACACAGTCTGATACCAACAAGGAATTAAGAGTTATCACTTTTTAATTTTCTCCTGCACAGGAAATGGCAAAAAAATACAAAAGGAGAAGGACGACAAATGGAAGTGTTATTAATAAGAAAAAGGTCTGCAGGTTCCACTGATAAGTACCATCTGATTATGAATCACCAACGTGACACTGCAGTAGGAGACAAAGCTCTTTCTGGGACAAATTCACAACTTATTCACTGAAAAATGCTTCTAGGAGACAACCGCACCTGTTTGAGCTAAATAAAGATGCCTGGATACTAACTTCATAACATTTTCTCACTGCCTAAAATACAACTACAGAAACTGCTTATACTCAAGTAACAAATGCTGAGAACTCCTTTCTCTTAAGGCTACCAAACAAGTTATTTATAACCAGCAAGTTAAGGTTAATATGAGAAAAGCATTCTTAGTTGTAATTTAACTACACCTTGTAACCTGTTACTTACAAAAATATACTCAATTATAGAGTTTTATGAACGTGTTCTCGAAACAAGTCTGCAGGTCTAAATATTCTTAATACTGTCTAGGTGAGAACAAAAGGGTTTCTCCAGCTCCCTTACACTCAAGATAGAAAAATTCTTCCAGAAACAGATTCAATTTATGACACATGCTTCCCCACAAGGCTGGAAAAAATGTAGATTTTAGTGGAGAAGAAGAAGGGTTTTCCTCTACTATTTCAGAGCGATGTTAATAGGCAAAAAAACCCCACTTTACTTACCTTAATTCTCTCTGTAACACCAAGGTGTGGTTTTTTGTTTGTTTTTTTGTTTGTTTTTTTTTTTTTTTTAATAGTGTGCCCTGGTTTAAGCGACACAGGATTAATTTCTCTTTCAGTAATTTTACTTGACAGCAAAGTCTCCTCTAATGCTAGGGAAAACTGCATGTTTAGGAGACTCTTGTGTCTCATTTTGTAAACATATTTATTTTATAGCCAGCTATGGGATGTGGGTTTCAGTGTCTCAGTGTTTCTGAGCCGTGCCAGGTACAGGGATGAGAAGAAGAGAGACCTGGGCACTTGACCAAGGCTGGGGAACAGGATTATTTCACACCATGAACGTTACGTTCTATATAAATTAGAAAGTCTCCTGAGGAGTTTTCTCCTCTTTTATGATGGCTGCTATCCTGAGAACTTCTCGCCCCACTGCCAAACCCCTGAGCCCTTCCCTTCCTCCTGAAGCCATGGCACTCAAAGTGTTCAACATTTGCTGTCCCCTGTTGGGAACGCACAGCTTCCTGCTGGTAGAACGGGCTGACTATAATCCTCCTATATTTTATATAGGTATCAGGATCAATAGTGGCTCTTTGGTATTATTAATGTTAATTATTTAGTCTTATTCTGTTAAATCTGTCTACATTTCAACCCTCAGATTTCTGTGTTTTTTCCCCTCATTCCCCTTCCCAGGTGCAGATGGGTCATTGGGTGGTGGAATAATTGTCTGAACAGCAATAAATTGTGGTGGCTTCTTCAAACTATACCATAGTGTAACACTCAATAGCTTGTACTAATTTAATAAATAATAGAGCACCATTTTATACATGCTAGCTATATTACATATCTATGAGTCTTTAGAAAAAGTAACTTGTGCTTACCTTCTTTAATAAAGAGATACTCTAAACATCAGCTCTTTCTTAGAGGTAGTTCCTACAGGTTTATAGTTTTCTGCTCATTAGTCAAATACAGTAAACCAAACAAAATGCTAAACATTCTTTAACTTTCTATGAGCCTGTATGGTAACTGCTGATTGTTCCAGGCAGCTTCTCCACTGATCTGTAAATCCCATAAATATTTAGCCCCATCTAGTGGTTAATTGTTTATCTCATCCATGTTCACCCAGAAGAGAACACTAACTTTGTCTTTTCCAAATGTCTTTGACAGCACTCATTTCTAGTTGGCAGACACAGCTCAGGAATTGAAAACAAGCAGTTACCCTTGTGTGACCAGATATCGATGTCTCTACACACTAACTGGAGAGGTCAGGAGTGGAACTCCTAGATACACCTCCACCATCTTCCAGGATGTCACAAAACCACAACATTGATTTTCAACCTGCTATTTGGAATGCTTCGGCCTTGATATTTTAAGCTTTAACATAAGTTCAAGCTTCCTGTCACCTGTTTTCTCACATTCTGTTATTGCTTAAGATGCTTCTAGGTGCAAATGATTACATACCTGTACGACTGCACTCATGCAAGAGTCCCAGACGAGCTGCTGACTCAGTCACTTGCTGAACGATGCATCAAGGCACAGCAAATCACAGAATGCTATGGAGTTGGAAAGGACCTCTGGAGATCGCCTTGTCCAACCCCCCTGCCAAAGCAGGTCCACCCAGAGCAGGTTGCACAGGAACGTGTCCAGGTGGGGTCTGAATGTCTCCAGTGACGGAGACTCCACCACCTCTCTGGGCAGCCCATTCCAGTGTTTTGCCACCCTCAAAGTGAAGAAGTTCCTCCTCATGTTTAGATTTAACTTCTTATGTCCAAGTTTGTGCCTGTTATCTTTATTTTGTCACTGGGCACCACTGAAAAAAAAACTGGCCCCATCCTCTTGACACCCACCCTTTAAACATTTATAGGTTTTGATCAGTTTCCCCCTCAGTCTTCTCCAGACCAAAAAGCCCCAAGTCCCTCAGCCTTTCCTCATAAGCAAGAGGCCCCTAGTCATCTTTGTAGCCCTTTGCTGCACCCTCTCCAGAAGTTCCCTGTCCTTGAACTGGGGAGCCCAGAACTGGACACAGATGGGGCCTCACCAGGGAATCTTTCCAAATCTTTTGGAAACGAGGCTGCAGAGAACAGGAAGGAGAGCAGGTCTGGCTTACTTTGACCACAAGGTATTTATGAGGACAATGCTATAACAAAAGCGTCCTGTTTCCCTTAAAGTGGTATGCCTCACTAGGAGCACCTTGATATGAAAAAGGAAGGCTCCTATATTTCAAACTGCAGAAAGACCCTTCCCTTTCTCATGGGAAAAAACCCAAGCAGCAAAATCACAGTCTTCTCAAGTGGCCCCAAGGTTCAGAGTCCAACTACCATGTTCTGCCAGAAGGTCTGGCAGTGCTGCTGCCCATTGCAGAATGACTTCACACAACTGGTATCTCAATCCCTTGCTAATCGTTCGTTTTACTGAACCACAAAAGAGTAGGCAGAGAAAACAAAAACATGATTAAATAATCACCTAGACCAATTTCCATTTTTACCAAAACTACACAAAAATCACAGCAGAATTGTTTGGGGTAACATGAAAATGTATTGCTTTAACTCAAATAATCAGGAGCAGTAAGGCTTGATTATCTGCAAACTTCAAAGAAAAACAAAAGCATTTTGGTGGATGGCTGGGTTTTTGTTTTTGTTTTTTTTTTTAGTAGAGAAAGAGAGATCAGTGTTAAATGGAAAGATGCATGGGGGGAATGGGAAAGAAAAGATTCCTATCTCAAAAGACCAGTGATGTAGCAGAGACATGAACAGGGAATTTCAAAGAAAAAAGGAAGGGATTGCTTGAAAGAGTCAAAAATTAACAGAGGGCACTGAAGATATATGGAGGTTGGGAGGAAAAGAAAAATAGTGTGACACACTATAGATCATAGGGGCCACAGAGCCACCATTAGCACCCAGGCTGACCTTCAAGCCAGACATCAAAAGGTGTAATTTTCAGGTCCATTTGAAATTACTTTTATTGCAGCAAAACATAATTGTATGGGCAACTCCAGCAACTCTGTCCTCAGCAAGTGTTACTTCATCCCACTGTTCTTACGTCAGGCAAGATGGAACATGCTTACTTTATTAGAAAACAACAAAATCTATCCATCAAGAAGTCATTACATTAGAACACAAGGAAGAGTTTAAGACATCAAAAAAAAACCAACCCTAAATTTGAAAAAAAAAAACAAAACAAAATGCAACTTCTTTCCCTGACACCAGCCGAGATGGAACATGCTTACTTTATTAGCAAACAACAAAATCTACCCATCAAGAAGTCATTACATCAGAACACAAGGAAGAGTTTAAGACATTAAAAAAAAAAAAAACCTAAATTTGAAAAAAAAAAAAAACAAACAAACCAAAATGCAACTTCTTTCCCTGACACCAGCTCCTCACATACTAGCCCTTATGGATGACATCCTCAAGTGTACTGGGCAATACTGCAACTTGCAGATGAAACAAAGTACAGATTTCAAAGGAGGGGAAGGAGAAATGATGCAACACTCGCACTGAGAAAAGTGCCATGTCCTACAGGCTCTGCGCTGCCAGAACCACTGCTGCCTGGCAGTGCACAGCATACAAGCAGGCTGTTTCAAAGAGAAGTGATAAGCTTTAGGAAAGAAAAAACAGAAACATTTGTATTAAGAGGTTATTGTTCCCTCTCACCTCCTCCGCTTTTCAACCAGAGATTACAATGCCCTTGGCAGAGGCTGAGCTCATACAACAGTTCCGTAGTTGCCAAAGTTCACAGTCCAACCATTTATTTCAGGTCATATTTGCATTCCTGGTTGTGAAGCAAAAGGTGTTGCCTATCAGCAGGGAAGTGGATGTTAGCTACAACCTGCCTAGTTGTCCCAGTCTATGGTGTTAGAGGTCATCCTGTACCACCATTCACTTCTCTAGAGCTTTGTCATCTATTAGGTAAAAATTAATAAACCAATGGTAACATTCCACTTAACTACTTCTCAGTCCTTATCTCCCAGGAGTACAAATCACTTCGAAAGTCAACAGCTACTTACGTTTGAATGGCATCAAGTCCTGCCATCTTCATCTTCAACAAGCGGTCTTTCCAGTAATACCGTGGTACCCGTGAGTAGTGGATGCTACCTGAGATGTAACGGAAAGGTTCCCCATCCTTGACAAAGCAGCCGCAGTCATAATCAATCCCAAAACTCCTCTGGGGTATACTCTGTGTACAAAAAAAACCAAAAATACACAATAGAATCTTTTTCTGCCTTGAAAGACACAGAGAACAGTCTATGGAACACCCGTGGGTTGTCCACAATAGAAGGTACAGTGGTGTTAAAGTAAGTGATGGTGAATGGCTCTCTGCTAGCTACATACAGCCCACCTGCACATAACACACCAAAGAACTACAATGCACCTGCCTGTCACAGCCACTCAGCAACGACAGGATTCACTGCTACACCAAAATATTCCACATGAATTCTCCACTTTTAACAAGTATAACAGTACCGTCTTTCTCCAGTGATACACATTGCAGACACACCAGTGCAAATGATGAGGATTTAATGAGGGAGATTTGATGAGTGACAACGCTTTGTACTCAGTGTTCCAACTTACTAAACTTCATGTCACGCTTGCATCTAGAAGCAAAAGCCCACCAGGAGCTTCTGAGGAACAAATGCCACATTCTAAATGCACCAGGGCTCTGACACATGCAGGTTTGAAAGCCTAATTTCTAGTAGGTATAAAACTGTTTGATAGATCAGTCTGGCAAACTGCATAGGACTTATGTAAGTCACTAAAGATTAGTAGTTTTTGGAGAAAGTTCTACTTGCAATACTTTTCCACCCGAACTAGTGAACCTAAAAAAAAGAAGCAGGTAGATTAAGAATATGTTTGCAATACTTTTCCACCCGAACTAGTAAACCTAAAAAAAAAAAGAAGCAGGTAGATTAAGAATATGCACTCCCTAGCCATAACAAGAACACCTTAACTTCAAGAGCACAGGATTAGTCTCAAGATCTTAGTAAGGTTTAAAGTACTATGACCAACAGCAGTACTTCTTTTGCTTGTCAAAAACAAGAAAAAAAAAAAAAGAAGTTGGGTTTTTTAAGTGCATGGTCCTATGCCTTTAAGAACCCTTAACTTATTAAAGAACCACCTTTTCCTTAGTTAACTAAGTAACATCCCAAGTCAGCAATTGTAATCAGTTAGTTTTCCATACTTGTCAGAAAATAAGTCAGAAGTCAACCAACCGTAAAGAAGAACCTTTTACTTAGTTAACTAAGTAGCATCCCAAGTCAGCAATTGTAATCAGTTTTCCATACCTGTCAGAAAATAAGTCAGAAGTCAACCAACCAAACCTCATGATTCATTGGATGTTACACTAATCCAAATGAAATAAAACATTTTCAATAGCATACATTTCAAGCTGTTGAAGGATACTGGCCTTGTTCTTGAAAAGATGAGCATGGGCCTGCCCCATATTGATAATGTGGCATAATTATTAGGAAACTGATTCCATGAAACAAAAGTGATGAAATTAGAAAGATAAGAAAGACATAGACCACCATATAACCCCAGGTGACTTCCACTACATGAGAGCCATCCACCATCTAAGGAAATCTGCCCAAAGGTTAATTAGGGACCAACAGACCACACATAGTTTTGAAGAGTCCTCCCATGAAACCACTTCTTTGAGTTAACTGCTGAACAGCTTTGTTACAATAGTGTGTACAACTACAGGTAAAGAGAAAGGAATGGGAAATGTGAAATACAGCAGGCATGTAAAGCCATAAAGCTGCAAGTACCAAGATGCCAGGCCAACAATTGGACAGGACTGCCAGCCAAGACCATACTCTTAGTGCAACAAGACAGGAAAAAGGAGGCCAGTGCAACGTGTCACAGGCCAAAAGAACAACAGCACAAAAACAAAACACACTCTCCTGAAAACCAGAGGATGGAACTGCTGAGTAAACATGCCTATCCCTAGACTGCCATTAAACGGAGCAACTGAGAGAACACTCTTCAAACATTTGAAGACTACCAACTCCAGAAAAGAGGAAGGCTAGTGTGTTGTTGCCATGATAAAGGCATTTCTTCACAGAAAGCCTAGAATAAAGTTGTGGAAAGTGTCTTAAATGCGCATAGCAACCCAAAACATTCTGCCAACAGCGAGAAATTGAAATTGTTTGTGTGGTGGACACGTAACACAGATGTGAGAAGATACAGCCCTGAGCTGGCAGGGAAACAAGGACTGCAAGGCATTACAAAGTATTGCACAGGGGAAGCCATTTAAGCCCTCATCCCACAAGCACGGACGCATTCTTAACATTACTTAACAAAGAGGTCCATGAAAGTTGAAATAAATCTTGACTGAGCAAAGGTATGAACAAAGGTATGGATGTACCAAAAGTCCACAAGTCCTTTACAGACCTGAGAAATGCAAACCAACCACTCTGGAACAAAAATAACTCAAAGGTTGGGATTCTCCCTGTGAAATTATGCTGTTGTAGTAACTCCAGGCTGTTAAACCTCAAGTAAACCGCTGTAGAGGATGCACAGGTATCTACCATCTGCTTATGTTCCTTTCAGTTCAAACTTAAGTGATATTTTGCTGATCTTTAATTTATAACCTGCACCTTGATTCCTGGGTATGCTGCACTAGGATGGAGTTGTGCTGTGTGTATCCATCCCCTAAGGAACCCATTCACCCTAAAGAACACCAAGAGGCTGTTTCACATTCTTTGGATGTTTTTAACTCTAGGGCACTGTGACAAGGTGCAGCATTAACAGGGATCTGAGTGCTTCAAAATGATCATGACTAAATGGAACTCAGAACCCAGGTGCAGCAACACAACTCTGCAATATTAAAAAAAAGGAGAGAAGCATTAGGAAAAAAGGGACATTAAAGGGCCATTATCCCTGGAAATAAAAGCATTAACAGGGATCTGAGTGCTTCCAAAATGATCATGACTAAATGGAACTCAGAACCCAGGTGCAGCAACACAACTCTGCAATATTAAAAAAAAGGAGAGAAGCATTAGGAAAAAAGGGACATTAACCAATTCTGCAATATTAAAAAAAAAGAAAAAAAAAAGAGAGAAGCATTAGGAAAAAAGGGACATTAAAGGGCCACTACCCCTGGAAATAAAGGAAAGTCAAAATAAATTGCTGCTGTTTCCCTCTGAAAGAGGACTTTCATCCCCTCAACTAGATGAACCATGTCAAGATGCCAATAGAAAAGACACTTGCTCCACTTATGGCAGATTAACTGTTGAGATATGCCCAACACTGAATCAACTGTTTACATAGCTCCACCCTCAGGGGACAGACACCTCTAAGAGAAACAAGTATTTCCTTTCATCATTTTAAGAAGATATTAATTACAAAAGTTATCATCATTAAAGCAGTTATCATTTAAAGGCCACACTTTTAAAGCTGTGACCATAACTGTCAAATCACCTTTCTTACACATACACTTCCTAACACAGTATTATTATGGGGGCAAGGAGAGGGAGGAAGCTTCCCAGGTATTTACTCTGACTTCCCTTCATGATCCACTACTCAACATTCTTTTATTGTCAGGGCCCAACTCCACCCATCGCTTACAGATCAAGGCTTGCAGTAAGAGCAAAACAGTGAATATTGTCCACCCATGGCTGTGAACACACAGCAGGAATGAATTCCCTGGATTTCCCTAGAAGATCAGGTAGTGGGTCTGCGAGTTTGTTAAGCAGATTCAACAGACACAAACAAACTCCACACCGTGTAGGATGCCAGATCATTCACACCACAACCTATTAATATCCAGCTGAAAATTCAGACTCTCACAGGCAATGGCATCATGTTGCATCTTACATACTCAGAACAAACTTGCAGGGAAAATACAACAGCAGGAATTAATTCCCTGAATTTCCCTAGAAGATCGGGTAGTGGCTCTGCAAGTTTATTAAGCAGATTCAACAGACACAAACGAACTCCACACTGTGTAGGATGCCAGATCATTCACACCACATCCCATTAATATCCAGCTGAAAATTCAGACTCTCACAGGCAATGGCATCATGTTGCATCTTACATACTCAGAACAAACTTGCAGGGAAAAGGGAAGAACTAAAGAATTTGTCCTTTCTTAAATCAAGAAAGAACTTCTTTTTGCAACCTGAACGCTATTCCAATATTTTATGACGTGTGTCTCTCAGCATCAGAAAAAAACCTCGCAGCTTCAACACACAAAACTATTTAACAGTGGCTAGGATCTCTTTCTCCAAATTTACAAAACAAGCCTTTTTCTTATTAGGAAAGCAAACAAATATGGATATGAATCCTCAATGAAGCCCTCCACCTGTAAAATGCCCAGCATCTTTTATGTAGAGCATTCAAACACGGAACACCCCTTTCCAGGCCCTTTCTCTAATCCAAAGCCGAAGTATCAAAACTGAGAACCACAAATCACTCTTGTTTTCTTCTACTCCTTCCAAAAAAAACCCAAACCAAACCAAACAAACCCAACCTCTTAGTATCCTTTCTCTGCCCTTGCAGTGCTGCTTTTCTCTGCACCACTTCCTCATCTCTTCAGCCCGCACTTCATCCCCCTAATAGGCATTAGGCAAATTTAATAGTGGCCTTACCTTGCCCACATTCCACCCACTTAGCAGCGTGGGTTTTCTAAGATTTCCCAAAACTAGTCAGATTTATTGTCAGTAGCTTTTTGTTGGTAAATAGAATCAGCGTGTTAAAATTATTCATGGTGTACTGCTACAATAAATATTGGTACAAAATAAAAGGTCATTAGAGGCATCTTTCTTGATAAGTGAATAAAGTTTTATTAAATCCCAACATTTAAAGCATTTATTATACCACAATTTTACATATTTTCAAATCCACTCTGTACTGATTATATAATGTAATAAATATAACTTTCACAAAGTGATAATACTATTCTATTCTGGTATTCTTATTCTGCTGACAGTGACAAACTCCCCCCTCCAATGAACTGGCCTTTAATAGGAAGAAATACATATTCATTTAGTTCAGTTCTCTGGATCAAATACATTCCACACAGACAAAAAAAAATTTACAAAAAAAATGAAAAAATTACAAAATAAGCAGCACAGCAATATTTTATTTTTCATCTGGAATACTGAACATAGGTCTAAATCAAGCATATTTGAGTCAAATTAGAAAAAGTGTAAGAAAAGCCTTAGAGGACAATTAGGGATGGATGTCTTTGAGAGATTTTAGAAAAAATTCATTCCTCACACTATCAAAAAGAAAGCTGATCTACGATACCTCCATACTTTTTGAGAAATAGCAAAATATCAAAAGGCTTTGAAGTGTTTTGGCACAGAAATAAAACATTTTAAGTGAAAACAAATCACCAGGCCAAGAAGCTTTCAGAGGGAAGGAGTCAAAGAAAAAAAAACAAGAACTAAATTACATTGAGAGAACTCAATAAATTTATGAAATGATAATATGACCACTCCTAAAAGGACGTGTGTCTGTTCCTAAAAGGATCTTCAAAGATCTTCAAAGAGGAGCATGTACAAATAATGAAGAAGTCACATATGCCCCCCAGGACTGAAGGACCACTTCAGCTAGGTTTTTGGACACATTTGGACAAAATGCGAAGAGAAATAAACACAGCAGGAGAAAAAGAAAAAAATACTAGCAACTCACTGGGAAACCAATGCCATCTAAAACCAGTCCCACAAAAGCCTCCTGATAACAAAACTAGCTAAACAATTAGTCTTCTTAACACAGTAATAACCCTCAGCATAACAAATGAAACGCTATCCTCCTGGACCAATGGTCTAGAGGGAATATTCTGCATTACTAAACCCAGAACACAGTTTTTAACCCAACGCATGTTGATAAGTAAACAGAGGGTGTCAAGGTTACAATGGAAAAGAACCGCAGAAGGACCCCATTTGGGCACTGTTAAATACCTGTGGAAACTTTAAGATGCCTAAGTGGATATTATTGCACAAGCATAAAAAAAGTTTACAAAATTATAGGTGCTGGCAAACAGAAATTATAGACATAAAAAGCCTGCCTGGTCAGGTGTTCAGTTTTCAGACTAAAAGATGACTGACTTCTCCAGCTTCAATTTTCCAGCACATATGACAGTATTTCTCAATATTCCTGTGAGTAAAAATGCAGGATGTTTGTACACACAAACAGGACACAAAAACAGCTTAGCAGTTAGAAACTCTGCCTGTGGGAGGGGCTGAAGAAAGTGGATGAAGTGAAACTTGAGTTTTCACTTACAGAAAAACTCAGCTTTACAAAGTCTATGGTACTCTTCAAATACAACCCCACACACCTCCTGCAAAACGAGAACAGAAGCTGAAGAATAAAACAAAAGTGTGTCTGGATGAGGATTACACAGGAAGGCAAGAAAAGATTGAACACTGCAGTTCTGGTCTTGCCATCCTCAGCCTCCAGTGTAAGCTCTGATCTCTTTTGCCCCTTGCCTGTGAGACCACCAGGTACTGGTGGGCAGAAAGGCAGAGCAAGCTACAGCTGGAGACCTCAGTTAGAGGCAGGATCCCCAGACTTGTATTGCCTGGGGAGTTTCATACACCAACACTGAGGTGGAAGGGGAGGAGAGGAAGAAGTACAGAAGTAAACTCTTTTATCAGCCTGGACAATATATGCACATTAATTTACATCCTGGCTTTCTTAGATGATATGGAAGCAATAATGTTTTTATTAATAATTTCTAATCTCTCAAATTTCCCAGAATGATCCTAATTTGTATTAAGCCCTTCTAGGAAAGGCAGAGAGAATTTCTCCACCCCTGATCATCCTGCAACAGTTATTCTGCTATGTGCCTATCAGGCAACAAGGACACTGATGCACAAACGCTATTAAGGAAAGTCACCTGCCGAAAAGTTTAGTCTTCTTCAAAAGGACACCGTTTACTTGAAATATTAAAATTTTAAACAAAATTCAAGCATTAACCTGTCTAAAATGTTTTCAAATAGCATCTCCTTACTCTTGTAAGAGAAAAGTCACAGAAGGTAAGTTAAGCATAAACAAAAAATGCAAAATAAAGAGAAATGAGCCTGAGTATTTCAGCTTTGGATTTTGTGCTTTACATCAGCAGGTACTGTATGCCCAGACAGCAACAAAAGTTATGTTCATTATGAGTTTTCTTTCTCATTTGCTTTTATTAGAGGTATTTTCAGTAAGTAAGTACTAAATGCCCAGTTATTTGGGGGAAAATGCCAGCAGAAAGACAGCTGCTTTCACCCTTTGATATCAGTCTACCCAGCTTTTTAACTGGAAAAAATTAAATTTCAGGAACTGATGCCTGGCACCTTACTGTACTGGTAAGAAGCTCAGACTGGAAGCCCTAGTGCATGCTGCAAACAGCAAGAAAAAGACACTCAGATTCAATTAAAAAAAACAAAACAGAAAAAAAAGCAGAACTACTCCCTTCCTGTTAGATTTCTAGCACAAGGCTTTTAGAGTTGACGTACTCAGTGGACACTGTGTAGTCCCCTCCACAAAACACGCGTGTGCTGTTTCACTGCAAGAGATGAGAACTTCACCTGCCTGAGATTTGATAAGGCAGCTGCCCAATGGATAATCACCAGTGGAACAGGAAGTAGCTGAGACCAGAGACACTACTGAACATGCACAGGACACACATTACCTCCATGACATCAGTGTTATCTTTAAGTCCAGAACCTCAATAACAATGAACTCAAATAATGGATTTCTTCAGTATTTTAACAGCTCAAATTTGCTTCATAGGCCCAAGATAGACTTCTGCTCAAACTTAACAGAACCTGATGGAGTCTACCCTAGCACGTCTTCTCTGGATTCCCTGAAAAAGGATTTGCTTTCAGAGCAGAAGAGCCAACATACTGACCAAAAAGGATGGCAGAAATCTTTCAAATGGAAAGGTCCTCAAGGAGAACGTAGAATTATCTCCGTTATTTCAGCTCTGCTGCCCAGCCTCATGGGTATTCCAAAGTACATTGTCCCTGGGCTGACATAGACAAAGGTATTCTGCCCAACTTTGTACAAGCCAACAAAGAAGGGATTCAGAAAATAAGCCCCAGCGTTTAGCGGGAACATCTGCCCTCCGTGAGTATGACCAGAGAGAATTAAATTGATGTCTGGTCTCTCCTGAAGGGCCCACTTTGCAGCAATGGGTTGATGAGCTAACAGCACTATTGCACGCTCACTGCTACAATCTCTGAGAGCTTTTTTTAAATCCATGCCATGCCCCGAGTAGCGCAATACATCTGCTTCAATATCATCAACACCAGCCAGGCAGAACCAGTCATCAGTGCTCTTTGGTGAAACAATCTTCACATTCTCGTTATGGAGTGGCTGAATGTTAAACGATTTTAACAACTCAAACCAGTTGCTAACATCTGATGTGTAGTACTCATGGTTTCCTGTGACAAAGTATGTCCCCAAAGGGGAGTTAAGTTCTCCAAGAGGCTCGACAGCAGGTCGTATTATCTCTGCCTCGGAGTCAGTCAGGTCCCCAACAATCACGGTGATATCTGGTTTCAAAGCCTTAACCATTCTCACAATCATGGCAAGCTTGGTCTTCCCAACTGTAGGACCCAGATGGATATCTGAAAGCAACACCACTTTCAGATTATTCATTGATGATGGCAGCTTGTGAACTGGAACCTCCACTGAATTCACAGTGGGAGGCCGGGAAGCATTTAACAGCCCAACAATAGTCAGCACAACAGTCAGCAGAACTGCCAAAACTGGTTTCATAGCTGTTCTGCTGTTCTTGTTGCCAGCACCTGCCTTAGCACCTCTCCCAGCCAAGAGCTTGTAAGCCTGCTCTACAGAGCCTAGAGTGAAGAGGAAGAAGATAAGAATGATATAGGCCCCCAGGCAAGTGTAAGCAGCTAAAGAAAAGAAATAGGGCTCTTCTGCAACAAGAAATAGCAGCGTGAAGAAGCTTGAATGAGCCAAAGCTAGAAACATGAACACAGCTATTTTCCACGGCAAGAAACAGAATGAGCTGGCAGCTGAAGACCTGGAGAACGTGGTGACTGTGCTTCTCCAAACATGAAGAGATCCTATCAACATGAGCGCATTAGCAAATAGTGCCATCTGCAGCCTCAGAAGCCAACGCCGCGTCCTGAGCTCGAGCTGCTCTGCCAGATAACTCCGCGACAGCATCATGGAGAAGAAAACCACTCCTGCAGCCACTGCAGCCTTTGCTTCAAGAGGCAGTTGCTTGAAGGAGATCATCTTTGCTTCCCTTTGCTCGTTCCCTTCTGTTCTGCAGAATTCTCCAGCAGGCAATAGTGTGGTTATGAAGGGGTGCCTTGGGTCAACGAAGCCTGCAACCAGGAACCAGTATCAGCCGTTTTGAAATATTACACACATTCCCCTTTTCCCAGACTGCAATAAAGGGCTATTGCTCTGTATATACTACCCAGGACTCTGGGCCATGCAGAATCACTATCATAAGGACTGGGAGGAGATTTCCTGATGTGGAATAAATCAGACAACTGAAAATACTGGATTCTGGCAGTCCACTTCCAAGCGCCCTGCCTGCCGCCTTCAGTGATTCCTCCTCTCCTACCCTTTTCTTTTTTTGTATGCCATTTCCTCATTAAGATGTCCTTATAGTAGATGGCAATAGATTACAACAATGATCCAATGAGTGCTGGAAACAATCATTATAGTATTTGTAAACCTTGTGTTCTGTGACTAAGCTGCTTCTGCTGTTAATTTAGCACGTGTTTTCTGTTCTTCTGCCCAAGCAGTTGGCTCCACTTAAAAAGCATGTAGCACCCTACATCATTCTTACTGAATGCAGCAGGTTTTATTAACAGGTAACTGCAGCAGCATTGAAATCCCCAATGAAATAACTACCAGATGCAACTGCAGTCCCAGAAACCGCAGATGATATTGGCAGATATCCTTGCCTTCAGCTGTGAAGACGACTTCCCCAAAGCCCTCAAAATCAGTAGAACTAGTGAAACACACATTGTGTTTCACTACTCACTTTCTGATCACTTCCACTGCATGTACAGTTCCCAAGACCCAACAGCTGTCAGCATGACTACCAGGATGCAATTAAGTTGAAAAGGGATTAAAACATCACACACTGCGCTCCTTCAGAACTAAAGAGAGCACTAAGCCTAATGCATCTCTGCTCCTAGCCTGAAAATAAATAAGCAAGCACGACTTATGCTTGAATTGTACCAGAATTCCCTGTTTTGCTCAGAGTTCACAGTGGTTCTACTCACATCCAGTTTGCACACTACTATTTAAAATAAACCTACTGTTTTATTTAACTGTAGTTGAGAAAAGTTTGGATGGTCCTTCATAATATATAATAGAGACCAAGTTTGAGACAACAAGCTACCTTATTTAAAGTAAGCGTATGTCACTGCATGACCTTCAAAACACTTCCTGTCTTAGTCCACACCTAACTAGAGAAAAAGTAAGCAATTATTACAGGCAAAAATATCTCAGAACTAGGGCATGAAAACAGCCTTGCAGGACTCTGCAATGAGCTTAAGCTCAGAAGTCTACAAACCCCAGCTTGCCAGGTTGCTTATCTGCAGCATATACTTCCCCAAGCTAATTTAAAAGGACATTAGAGCCTCCGTGATGATAGGCCCCTGCTATATTTTCAGGACTAGACCAAGTTTTAAGAAGACCTCTTCCATTATTGCTTGGTCTGTGGGTTGATAGAGAAATCATGCCTCAAGGCCCTTCAGCTGTTACAACACTACTCTTAAAAAACAGTGCTGTTTTACACATACCTCTACCAAAAGTAAACAAGGCTAGGGAGATAAGAGTGTAAGAAATGCGCTGCTGATTTGAGTCCACAGTTCCTCCAGACCCCAGGCCGTATTCTGGATAGACAACAGCAAGAAGAAATGCTGCTTAAAGAAACAACATGACCCTGGCCACTGTCTGTGGTCTGCTTCCTTCATTCTCTTCCAGCAGACAAAGTTGTTGTATTAGCAATGTTAGAAAGCAAATCCTTGCCTGCTCATTTTCAGATGTAGTTTATGAACCTGCTGTATTTTAATTTGGTTAATCCTTTTTGGGAACCTGTTCAATGCTGTCCACCCTACAACCTCCCACAGCAGCAAATTCCTGAAATTCACTATGTACTTTTAAAGTATATTAACCATTTCAAACTAATCTACCAAAGTGCTCCTCTTCTAAGGCTACCAAATTTGGTGACTACTAATTCTCCATTCCTCTTTACTCACATCCTTCAGAGTTTTGCTTCAGCCATAACCTCGTCCTTTACCGTCATCCAAACTTTCCCTTGATAAAGGTCTCCCATGAGGCTGTGCCACTTTTCACACAGCTTTAACCACCTGTGCATCATCCAACTGCAGCACAAAGGTAACACTGACACACTGCTCCAATCTCAAGGCATAAACGACAAGGCATGGTCCCACAAGTGTAAAGATTAAGGATTTGCCCAGGGCCCGTTTAGGCAGTGGTACAGGCTGCTACTGGATAAAGCAGCAACAGAAGTCAATGCTGAACCGGGGCAGAACGGGAAAAACTCCTCTCACTCACCACAGGAAGAGCCAGTTTTTCCTAGGGCTCTGCTAATAAAGCGTCGGTACCAGGTAACTGCAGCTCGATTCACACACACACACCCCGCCACCCTGCATATGGGTTGCTTAATAATATAGTAGTAATTGCCTTGTAGCCTATTGTTTCTCACAGCGGGGTCTCACCGGCAGGAGTACAGCTGGCAGCACCGCACGTCCCGGGCCATCACCCCCCCAACACCACCCCCGAAGGCGGCGGCACAGCTCACCCACCGCCCGGGGGGCGAGGGCGGGCACGGTCAGCCCTTCCCCGGGACGAAACGGCGAGGCTCAGGGTACGGCGACGGGGGGCCGGCCTGGGCGGCAGCGGGCAGGCCTCCTCAGAAGAAAAGGCGGGGGACACAGGCCTGCCTCAGGAGAAAAGGCGGGGGAGGAAAGGCCTGCCTCAGGAGAAAAGGGTAGGGGGGACAGGCCTCCTCAGGAGCCGGTCCCCGCCGCCGCACCTGCCCCGCCAGCCCCCGCCTCGGCGCTGCCGCAGGCCCAGCCCCCCCTCTCCCTTCCTTCCCCCCACGAACCACAAATCGCTCAGGAATTAAAAAACGGCCCGAAGTTAACCGTCTCCCCCGCCGCGGGCGGCAGAAGGCCCCCCACCAGCCGGTAGCCAGGGCCGCCCGGCGGCTCCCTCAGAACTCGGGGCCGCCCCCAACAGCCACGGGGGCGAGTGCCCGGAGGAGAAGGAGGAGGGGAGGAGTGGGGGGACGACGAAAGGACTCACCGCCGCCCGGGGGAACGCCGCCAAAGCGGCCAGCGGGAGCAGGAGCCGCAGCATGTCGTGAGGCGGCGGAACCGAAGGGAGCGGAGCGAAGGCTCCTCACCTCACCCCGCCGTCCCGTGACAGCGCGGTGTCAGCTGACCGGCCCGCCCCGCCCCGCCGCCTGGGCGGGAAACCGCCGCCGCCACAGGGAGCTGAGGGGATGCGCCTCACGGTGACACAGGCCGGTGGCTGAGGAGAGGCTGAGGCTGGGGACCACCACAGCGGCGGGACACCAAAGGAGGTGGGAGATGGCCCTAACCCCACTTTCCACCCGTGCGCCCGGAGGGTTTGGGAAATCCAGGGCAAGAGAGGAAGGGGGGGAAACCCCCAGCCCGGAAAGGAGCAGGGGCAAAAGGGTGTCCCTGGGCAGTTTCCCATCCCAGTAGTAACTGGACTCAACAGCTTCTAAGACTGGGCACCTTAAGGGTCGTGTGGCTGCATATTGTCCCCTGCCAGTGCCATCCATAGCCCCCCCACTGTGCCCCGCTTTCCCCACCGCCGACATTGGAGTAGGTCACAGCGGTGCAGTTTGGTGGCTTTGCCTTCCCTGTCCGTTGTTTATATTGTCTGTTTGATTAGACTGTAGCCCGGATCCCAGCTCTTGCCACTCACTCAGGGAGTTCTGGTGGGGAATGGAGTTCAATCCAGTTGGTGGCTGGTCATGAGTGGTGTCCCCCCAGGGCTCGGTGTTGGGGCCGGTTCTCTTGAACATCGTCATCAACAATCTGGATGAGGGGATCAAGTGCACCCTCAGTCAGTTCGCAGATGAAACCAAGTTGGGTGGCAGTGTCACCCTGCTGGAGGGTAGAAAGGCTTTGCAGAGGGGCCTGGACAGGCTGGATGGATGGGCCAAGGCCGATGGGATGAGGTTCAATAAGGCCAAGTGCCAGGTCCTGCCCTTGGGTCACACCAGCCCCCTGCAGCGCTACAGGCTGGGGGCAGAGTGGCTGGAGCTGCCTGGCAGAAAAGGACCTGGGGATGTTGGTCGACTGTGGGCTGAAGATGAGCCAGCAGTGTGCCCAGGTGGCCAAGAAGGCCACCAGCATCCTGGCCTGTATCAGGAACAGTGTGGGGAGTAGAACCCGAGAGGTGATGGTCCCCCTGTCCTGGGCACTGGTGAGGCCTCACCTCGAGGGCTGTGTCCAGTTTTGGGCCCCTTCCCACAAAAAAGACATTGAGGGGCTGGAGCGGGTCCAGAGAAGGGCAGCAGAGCTGGTGAGGGGTCTGGAGCACAAGTCTTGTGAGGGGAGGCTGAAGGAGCTGGGGGTATTCAGCCTGGAGAAAAGGAGGCTGAGGGGAGACCTTCTGGCTCTCTCCAACTCCCTGAAAGGAGGGTGTAGCCAGGGGGGGTCGGTCTCTTCTCCCAAGTCCCAGGCCATGGGACAAGAGGAAATGGCCTCAAGTTGTGCCAGGGGAGGTTCAGATTGGAGATTAGGAAAAATATTTCCACGGAAAGGGTTATTGCACATTGGACTGGGCTGCCCAGGGCAGTGGTTGAGGCCCCATCCCTGGAGGTATTTAAAAGATGGGTTGACCTAGTGCTTAGAGACATGGTTTAGTGATGGTTTTTATCAGAGTGAGGTTGATGATTGGACTAGATGATCTTAAAGGTCCCTTGCAACCTGGACAATTCTATGATTATATCATTCTATGATTCTGAATGGGCCATCTGAAGGTACAAATTGCAGCCTAGAAAGGGCTTTCTACAGGTTGGTAGTGTTGTGAAGAAAGGAATGTCACCTCCCCAACAGGATTTATAATATATGAAGAAGGCAGAGAAATGCTTTACATCATCTTTTAGAGTGACCATGTGTTTATTCAGGTGGGATCAACAGTGAAAGTTTGCCACGTCCTGGGAGTAGATGTTTCTGTGCTGCTGCTTGCTCCTCTGGAAGGAGCTTTCTTGGAGCCACTTAGTTCACTTAAAAATCTGTTTCTACAGAAACTATTTTTATTTTTTTGTGGTGAGAACTGAAATGAGAAGTGAATTACTGACTAAACAAAAATGAGAGACTTGTCAGCCCAGCAACAACCAGGGTTAAAGCATAAAGCACAAAAGAAACCGGGAATGTGACGAAAGTGCAGCTGAGATTTCCCTTTGCGTTTAGCACCGTGTGGGCTGGCTGGAAGCACATAGTTTTGGGACAGCAGGAAGAGCTTCTGGCAGAGTTCCCAGAGCGGGACACATATAGCGGCACAGCAGCCAGAGCTCCTGTTAGAGTTGATGTCTTTCTTTGGTGTAGTTCTCCCTCAGGTTTCTTTCTGAAATGAAAGGGTACCTTTTACAGATGCAAACAGAAGAGTGCACGTGCACATATGCTTGTGGTTCTTGCTCATAGTTTTATACGTGCACTCCCTTAAGCTGTTTCAGGATGAGAGGGAAGTTAAACAAAACCTGAGATGGAAGAAGAGATTCATCTTCTAACTACTGCTTCCCTATCCTCACACTGAAAACCCTACCTCCAGGCCCCAAGGACCTTGGTGGCCCTACAATGGACTCCTCCCATTGACCCTGCACAGTAGCCTGGAGGGAGCCAGGCCCTCTCCTTTCTTCTGCCCCTCTCTGCAAGTGTCGGGTGCTGGGACGATGCCACTTGCAGGGAGCCGAGCAGTTGGAGGCTCATGGAGACTCCTCAACTCTCCGAGGATCCTGTGGTCACTGTCACATTGAGGGGACTTCAGGCCTGGCACTTCAGGCCTGACTCCTCAACTCTCCTAGGATCCTGTGGTCACTGTCACATTGAGGGGACTTCAGGCCTGGCACGAGGAGGGGGATAGAGCCCAGGGCACACAAGGGGAGCTGGAGGGCAGTCCTGGTGCCTGAGGGGCCACCTTTCTCTCTGGCAAGCCAAAATGGCCACCCAGAATGGGGCCTTCAGGGCCTCATGGAACACCATGAGGCCCAAGCCACAGTGCTTTCTTTTTGTGATGTCACTGGCTTCCTGTTAAACAGGCAGGAACTTCTGCAGCTCGTCCACAGGTTGCTCGGCAGCCTGAGATTCTCACAGCAAGCCAGCTTGGTAGAGGAGCCAGTGAAGTGAGGCGAGTGCCCACATTAAGTGGGAAGAGCAAGAAGAGGTTCATTGGAACTGCCAAGGATGCCTCTGCATCCCAACTAATGGAAGTAGGATGACGGGGAGCGCAGCACCAAGCAAGCCAGGGCCATGAAGGTCAACCTGCCACAGAATAGCGAGGATTCAATGGAGATGGATCCACCACCAGATCGGGAACAGCCCATGGAGGTGGATCCATCTCCTGCAGGGTCATCGGCACATAACGAGCCCGCGGCCAGGCTGCCTCCGGCACCGTGGAGATCAAAGCGCTGCAGGATGGCCCGGCGTCCTCAGAGGAGATCTAAACGGCTAGCTCGAGCCAAGCGGCGCCGGCGACGCAGACGACGTTAGCCACTAGCTGTACGTGGACTATCCACACTGCCATCCAGCAGGCTCATCAGGAAGATCACCCAGTTGTCAAGCCACTGATGAGCCCTATGTCCCACCCCCAACCCCTGCCCTTCATGAACAGGGTCTCCCATCTCCTCTGCCCCAAGCCCTGGGGAAGAGGTGAGGAGAGGAGCTCCCGGGGGTGGCTTCTTGTCCTCAGTAGCACCAAATGTTGAGCACAGCCCCCTGTCTGAAGTGATACATGACTTTGGTGATAATCCTGTCTTCTCAAAGGCTGAAAGAAAAAAGAATTTAGAAACACAAGGGGAAAAAAATAATTATAAACCAGGGGTGAGAAGGTTTGGGAAGGGTTTTTGGATGCCAAGATAAGAATTCATCTGAAAAAATTTCAGTACCAGTGAAAAGAAAGAAAAACCACATTCCTAAAACTTCCCCATTTGTCCTTGAGTTAGGAGTGCATCAGTCTTTGTGCATCAGTCAGTTAACCTGCTTTCTTGTTTCTGGCAAATGTTAATATTTTATTAAGCCTAATAATCCTGTATCTCACTCTCCACTCGACATAGGGGATTTGTGACTTACTGTGGCTGTCTCTTTCCTTTGCCAGGCTTCAAGTGATGCTTTTTCAACCTAAAGTGAGGATTGCAACAGCCTGCTCCTGGCTTCACGTGTGCTGCTGAGCATCTGCTCCGAAACAGATTGAGAAAAAGACAATGAAATCCTGTTACCACTTGGAACTCCTGTGCTGTGTGTCCCTGAAAGTGGTTTTGGAGCAGAAAACCCCTTGGCGTTTCAGGCAAAGAACAGTCTCATCGTCATTCAACTCATTGGGAGAGAAGGGGAAAGGAAGGGGAAGAAAAGAAGAGGGATTTACTGGTGGGACTGCAAGGCACGTGGGATGAGTTCTAAACCCAAGATCTGTCCATTTAAGAAAAGGAAAAGGGAAAGGAAGAGGAAGGGAAAAAGGGACCAAAAAAAAAAAAGGGGGACAGGAAACTCAAAGAAAAGAAAAGGACATAAAGAAAAGGACGGTAAGGAAAGAAAAGGAATGTAAGGAAAGAAAAGGAAAGCAAAATAGGAAAGAAAAGGCAAGGCAAGGCAGAGGCATCACCAGAAAGACCTTCAGAGTCAGCTTAGTTTTCCTTTTAAGTACCTCCAGACATGGTGACTCTACCACTTCCCTATTCCGGAGTTTGATAACCCTTTTGCTGAAGAAATTTTTTAGAGTCAGCTGAGTTTTCCTTTTAAGTACCTCCAGGCATGGAGACTCCACCACTTCCCTATTCCGGTGTTTGATAACCCTTTTGCTGAAGAAATTTTTCCCAATATACATCCTAAACCTCCCCTGGCACAACTTGAGGCTGTTTCCTCTTCACAGAATGCTATGGGGTTGGAAGGGACCTCTGGAGATCATCTAGTCCAACCCCCTGCCAGAGCAGGTCCACCCAGAGCAAGGAATGTGTCCAGGTGGGTTTGAATGTCTCCAGTGACGGACACTCCACCACCTCCCTGGGCAGCCTCTTCCAGGGCTCTGCTATCCTCAAAGTGAAGAAGTTCCTCCTCATGTTTAGATGGAAGTTCTCACATTCAAGTTTGTGCCTGTTTGCTCTTGTTCTGTCCCTGGGCACCACTGAAAAGAGACTGGCCCCATCCTCCTGACACCCACCCTTTAAGTATTTATAGGGGTTGATCAGATCCCCCCTCAGCCTTCTCTTCTCCAGACTAAAAAGCCCCAAGTCCCTCAGCCTTTCCTCATAAGAGGGATGCTCCAGGCCCCTCATCATCTTTGTAGCCTCTGCTGTCCCCTCTCCAGCAGTTCCCTGTCCTTCTGGAACTGGGGAGCCCAGAACTGGTCCCAGTGCTCCAGATGGGGCCTCCCCCGGGCAGAGCAGAGGGGCAGGATGACCTCTCTCGACTCTCCTCCTACCGCTTAGTTCCTGGGGAGAAGAAACCGACCCCTTCCTCGCTGCACCCTCCCGCCGGTGGCCGTAGAGAGCGATAGAGCCCCTTTCCCCGCCACCGACCTTCCCCCGCCGCCGGGCACACCCTCTCGGGGGCGGGCCCGGGCCGGCTTCCCCCGCCCCCTCGACCGGATCCCTCCCCCGGTCCCACCTCCGGTCTCCCCTCCCCGCTCCGGTTCCCCCCCGCTTCTCCCCGCGGCGGCGACGTGGTGGTGGTGGCGGCGGCGAAGGAAGGGGCGGCCATGTGGCTGGCGTTGGCGGCGCTGGTGGCGGCGGCGGGGGCGCAGTACGAGCGGTACAGCTTCCGCAGCTTCCCGCGGGACGAGCTGATGCCGCTGGAGTCCGCCTACCGCTACGGCCTGGACCAGTACAGCACCGAGAACTGGCCCGAGAGCGTCAACTACCTGGAGGTCAGCATGCGGCTCTACCGCCTGCTGCGGGACAGCGAGGCCTTCTGCCACCGCAACTGCAGCGCCGCCGGGCAGCCCCTTCCCGCCGCTACCGGGCAGCCCCCTCCCGCCACCGGCGGCGGGGCGGCGCTGGCCGAGCTGCGCCTGCTGGCCGGGGTGCTGCGGAGGGCCCAGTGCCTGCGGCGCTGCAAGCAAGGGCTGCCCGCCTTCCGACAGGCCCAGCCCGGCCGCGACCTGCTGGAGGAGTTCCAGCGACGGGAGCCCTACAAGTACCTGCAGTTCGCCTACTTCAAGGTGAGGCCCGGACCCTTGTCATAGAGTCATAGAATTGCCCAGGCCGGAAGGGACCTCCAAAGGCCATCTAGTCCGACCCCCCCGCAGTCAGCAGGGACACCCCCAACTAGACC